AGAAGTGTCTAGGAGTGAGAGCCAGCAGTGACCAGGCCCCGAGGCAGGACGCAGACCTCCCCAGAGCCTGCGTCTTCCTCTCCTCAGTGCCACACCATGAAAGCAGGGTGAGAGAGGTCCTTCCTCGAGCACTGGGCCTGACCACCAAGGGGACAGGCCAGGACTGGGCTCAGGAAGCTCTGTCCCTGGGACAGAAGTGCCAGATAAGTAAGCCAGAAGGTGAGAACCAGGCCTGCGGGAAGGAAGGCAGCATGGGCATGGGGGCACGCTGATTCGGAGTCCAAAGGCCTGAGTGTGAGCTCTGCCAGAGGCTGACTCTAGCTGGGACCTTCGGCCAATCACACAGCCCATCTAAGTCTCAATTCCCTCACATGTAAAGTGGGGATACAGTTTTCCTGCCTGCCTCATAGAGCTTTTGTGAAGATCAAAGGAAAATAAATCTGGTTGGCCCAGCATAGGGCAGTTACTGGGAAGGCTTGCATTTCCAACCAGGTGTCCCACAGTACCTTCACTTCTTCTGAGTGGAATGACTGGTGGAACGCCCCCCTCCCTCCGAGTCATGGGGGCAAGGGAGGAGGAAGAGGAGCAGGAGACCTGGGCAGAGCCACTACTTGGACACCCCACCATGAGTGTTCTGGGGGATGGTGGGTGGAGAGAGGACACATTGCCTGTGTCCTGTTCCCCAACTGGAGCTGGTGGCTGGAAGCCAGGGCCAGGTTGGGGGATGGAGCATGGCGGTGGTCAGGGGTGGCAGAAGACTGGGGCTGGGTTAATGAAGTATGGATTGACTGGTCCAGGCGCTGATTAGCTCTGGCATTGGGCTTTTCCTGAGCAGTGGCAGCAGAATCAATACTAATCCCTTGATCCCATTAGGGGCTCCTGCGGGTCTCTGGGACAAAGTCGGTGCCTCTCTGAGAGAGGCACTGTCTGGGGCTAGAAGGTAAAGCTGGAGCCTTGACCAGCATCCTTCCCACTATCTTCTTTTAAAACTTCCCCTCTTTCTGCCTCCTGTTGCCACATCCCTGCTCGTATGCTCAAAGGTCTGGTGCCTTCCCCAGCCATCCTAGCTTCCCCATCCCCCTCTGACTACCCCAACCTCCTTCTGGGCCCCAACCAGTGGATCTGGTTATGCTTCTGCATGAGGAGGCTTCAGCATCTGCCTCGTCAGCCCCAGTGGGACTCAGGCTAACAGAGGACAGCTTCACACATACAGCAGAAGCTCTCTTAACCAAGCTTTTCCTCAATTGGCTCAGCATACTACCGATGCTCTCCATTCCATCTCTAAAGCACAATAACAGATGCATGTGCAAGCATAATGCTGGACCTCCCCTCTGGCGTCCCCCGCAGCCTGTGCTTACACTAGCTGAGCTTCATACTTGCTGAGAGTCTATAGTATTTGTTCCCAAACAGTTTACAATGGGCATGCTTGCTGTCACCATCATGGGATATTATACGAACCATGAAACATGAACTGGAAAGAAATAAATGTGCTGTTTCTATGAAAACTTAAGTTGAAATTCTCGAAATTAGGTGAAGATTGGTGGGAAAAGTCATAAAAACTCAAGGGATACTACACTTGAATTGTTCACCAAGTGTCCTTAAGGTCTCAGACCAATTCAAAGAAACCCACACCGTAGGTCACAGGCAGTACACTATGGTGTGGATGACGTCAGAAAAGCAACATGGGACTCACCTCAGCTGTCCCTTGGCCCAAGAGACAGCCTCGACTCTGTGTAAAAAAGTAGAAGTACTGCAAGCTAGCCAGTGCTGAGTGGTTTGGATTTGTGGAAAATGAGCACATTATTGTGCAGTAGTGGGAAAACATAACTTATTGAGCTCCTGGCTGTTTAAAAGTTACTTGTCTTAAGTTGAAATGTGTATCCTATGTGTGCATTTTGAAGGACTCTGCTTTAATGGATTCTTTTGACCAGCTGACTACTATTGTCAATCTTATTGGGTAACGTAGCTTTATCATCCTCCAGAGACAAGTGGCTTGGATGGTTTCTGAGCTTCTTTGTGACTGGTCTCCATCACACGCACACGCACACGCTCTCTGCAGCATTAGAACTCATCACAAATCACCCTGAATGATGTTGTGGGAGCTTCACAGACACCTGTGTAAAGTCCCTCCTTCCCTCTGGGCTATGAGATGCTGGAAGGAAACCCTCACTTCCCTCCTTCATGCTTTTGCATTTCCCATAGAACCTAACACAGTGCCTGCCTACTACAGATGCTGAGTTAATATTTGTTGAATCTAATTAAATAAGCCTCCTCTTCAGCGACTAGGGGCATTGATGAGGTTTTCATTTGAACACCTGTAGGCTCAGAAGGAAACCTTTCCATGCATTTGGAATCATCCAGCCTTGGAACCATCGTGAATCTAGCTATGCCACCCCAGGCTCAGCATCTCCTGTCCAGCCTGACTGGCTGTGCCCCAGTCTTAGGCACTTCCACCTGGGTTCCTATATCCCCCTAGTTCTCACACACAGCCTATGACACCCTAAAACCCATAGACAAATTCCTATGTCTTCCCAGACATGGCCAATCATCATAGCTAATTAGTCCTTAAATCATGACTAAGTTCCGTGGAAAGTTGTTAGGTTGACTTCCAGCCTTGAATGCCCACCTGACCCCCACTGTTCTCACATAGAACATTTCTTTATCCTCACAGAGGCCTGTTTTAACCTCACAGTGCCAAAATGACAAAACTAAAAATTTTATTAGAACTCTCCCAATCTAGCCTCTGTATTTTAAAACGAAGGTGGAGGCCAAGGAGAGCAAGCAATGGGACCCCCATTGTCCAATAAAGGGGGACACTGTCCACTACCCAGAACACTGCCCAGGCCACTGCTGCCCCATCTCCCTACCCCTGCCTCCAGGCGTTCTGCTCTTGTCACCAAATGACCATCCCCCACTCAGTCCTATATCCTCCACCCACAGCACAGCCTTTGTGTCCAGTGAAGGCTTCTGAGGGCACCAGGAGGGTGGAAGGGCCTCCTCATATCTGCACTTACTGCAGGACAAATGACAATTGTGGCTGGTCACAGACACTAGTGACAAGTATCAGACGGGGATTCATAGCCCCAGCAGGTCTCTGCAGTTTCCTGTCAGTCACCCCTCGAAGCCTCCACCCAACCCTCCCTCAACATCCCATTCTCCCGCCCTTGCCACATCCTCTCTGCTGGCCTCTAAATGTGGCCAAGCCCCTCCTCCATCTTTGTGCTGATTCTTCTAAGGGCCCAGAGCAATTCTGGGGTCGGAGCCTGTGACTACAGGCTAGCTACTGCCCTTCCACCATGCAGAAGCAGCAGGCTGTGGTGAGGAGGCCACCCTTGCAGTCCCATCTCACAGATCTGGAGTAGGGGTAAGTGCAGCCCCAGCCACCTCCCCTGCCCCAAGCCCCATCTCCCACAAACCTGCCCCCTGCTGGCTAGCTGGCTTTCTCCAAGGGTGGGGGCTCTCTCTGTGCTGCTTAATAACTGCCTGGTAATTAGCTCCACGATTTTGCTACTATGCTTATAATAGCCTCCATTAAAGTTATGGGGTTTTCAAGCCGTAATGGCTTCCAGAGTAATTAATGCACAACTGGGTTTATTGCTAAGTTTATTTTTAGAGCTTTTCTCCCTCATCCACTCCTCCCTTTCCTTTCATAGATGTTTTGACCAAAAAGACTGGATGGGATCAGAACTGTCTCTCCAGAGCCCTCTTGTACACTTGCCTGCATCCTTCCTCACCCTGAACCTGCTTCCTGCTCCCACCGCTAGGGAGCTTCTGGGACCCCACAGTGGAGACAACTGTCATGAAGGAGGGTGGCTCTGAAGCAGTTCTCAGCCAGGGCCTGTGTGTGGACCTGTGCTGACCTTGCACCTGAGCTGGGTTCAAGGATCTGGGGCCTGGAACCTCTTTTCCCACACTCCTGCCAACAGCATAGAAGCAAAGGGCCTGGACTTATGTTGGGGTCCACTATGACCTTATTGATTGCAACTTCAGACAAGTCACTGATCCTCACTGGGCCTCAATGATTTCCTTGTGAAATAAGGTTACAACAGCACCTATGGCAAGTGGTCCATGAGGATTGAACGTAAAATATTGAGTGTCATTTCTGGACACCACCAAGTGCTACATAACAGCTTGTTATTACTAATGACGGCCCAAACAGACAAGCAGGAGGTGAAGCAGGTGCCAGAGGAAAGAGACTTGGGATAAAGAGGCTGCCCAGTGAAAAAAGGTGTAAAAGCAGGCACCTGCACTATGAGCAGGCTGGATGTACATGCAACAAATTGGCATGGAGCTTGCCTCTCCATTGCTTTCTCCTTTCTCCATCCTGGAATTAGAACTCTCCCCAAGATGAAGAACATTTGGAGTCACTAAGAACCCAAAGGAAATCTTCCAGCCAGGCCTATTAGAAGCTCCCCTGTCTTCCATCGAATGTGGCCTAAGATTGCCCAGCCAAACCAAGGCCCCGACTCAGCCCTTTGCAGCCTTGTCAGTGACCTTGGAGTGGGGGGATCGGGCTGGGGTTGGGGATGGCATGAGGTTACTCCACTTCATCATACTTAGCACATGGGATCCAGACAGGCCTCCTGGGATGGACACAAGGCTCTGCCACCTAGAGGGGCCATGAAAGAGGAGTTTGTAGGAGACACAGCACATACCCCAGAATTATTCTCCCAGCTCTGTGTCCACATTGTTTGTCCCTGCCAGTAACATTTAACCTCAGTGGATCTTCCATTTCCCTGAGGAAGTTGGTGTAGCCTGCTTATCTCCTGCCCATGGAGACAGCGGAGGCAGAGCAGGCTCCTGGTGGTACGTGGCTGGTTGGAACATGCTGATTGACCCGAGAAACCATAGTGCTCTTTACTAGATGACATACCTGGTTCTTCCACAAGGTTACAAAACTATTTGGAGAGAGGACCAGACAAGGAGAAGAAGACACACTGTTTCCAAATCTGGGGTTGGGGAGGGTTGGGAGGCAAAATTCTCCTTGGCCATGGCTCCTGATGCTGCCAGAGATGGAAAGCATGTGCTGCCTGGGGCTGGATTGAGCAGTTGGCCCCTCTGAAGCATATCACTGCACAGTGCTGGACACTAGAGGGGGCGACATGCAAGGACAAGCCAGGGGCTGCCCATGGCTGACATCTCCCCTCCCCCTTTGCAGATCCCACCTGCATCTTACACAGGGCTCAGCAGAGAAGGGACGAGGAAGGCAGAGAATAGGATGTGACAGTTTCCATGGTGGTTGTGGGGCTCTGTGCCTGCTCTTTGTCACAGAGCAGAGGCCCAGAGAAGGACGCTGCTGGCAGACCCTCTGCAGAACTGAGAAGAGAGTCAGGCAGGGTCACCCTACTCACAGAAAGGGTGTTTCTCCCAGGGCTCCTCTTGCTGCCATTTTGAGTGTTGTCTCCCGAGGATATGGCAGCCCCCACAGGGCCCATCTCTTCACCTTGCTGATACTCAAGCTATGCAGAATCCACAAGAATTTCCTATCAACATCAACAAAGAGAAGGCACTTGCCGCATGTCCTCCCAGGGCCTGTCCCCAAAACATCTCTTGTTGGCCATCACCCCAACGCCTACCCCTTTATCTAGGCTATGAAGAAACCATCTGGGTACACAGGTGGACACCAGAGTAGCCAACGCATCTTTAGCACGCACTAGATATAAATACAGCAGGCACTATTCTGTGGCTTTTGTGGGACTAACTCATTTAATTCTGAGACTTGTGACATAGGTAATGATAGTACCCCATTTCATAGATGAGAAAACAGAGGCAGAAATGGTTGCCATAACTTGATAAAGGGCATATGGCTTGTCGGTGTCAGAGTTGGGGTTGAAACCAAGACTAGTGTGTCTGAAAGCCATGCCCTTAACCTCTGTGGCCTGCTGAATCATGTAACTGGGCAGCACCATGTCCCCATGCTTGTGGGTGACAGAGGCTGGCCTCATCCAGGCAGGCAAGGCAAAGCAGTCCTCAGGGAGAAGGCAGTGCAGGCTCCACTATGAAAACCCCAATGCTGTGAGCCCTGCAGCCAGGCCCTGCCCTTCTGGGCATCTCTCCCCCCCACCGCCAGGTCTCTGGCCATCCTGTTCTGCTCTCTCTTGCAGGTGTCCACTTCACAGGGTTCCTGATCGTGCCCCTGGACAGCCACCCCTTCGCAGTATCCAGTCTGGCTGGACTCTGCAAACCTGCTTCCGCAATGGGTGGGTTGTGAGCGCTGGTAAGACCTGCTAGCCAACATTCGGCTTCTCTGCTCTCCCTGTGCCTGGCCTGCGCGGCCCATTCCTGTTCTTTTCTCCCCTGTGCTTGCCACTGTCTGCTGCCGTCGCCACTGGGGCCACCCTTCTCCTGACCTTGCCGCTGCCCAGGTAACGAGGAGCTGTGGGCCCAGCCAGCCTTGGAGATGCCGAAAAGACGGGACATCCTTGCGATTGTCCTCATTGTACTGCCCTGGACACTGCTTGTCACCGTGTGGCACCAGAGCACCATCGCGCCTCTGCTCACCGCACACAAGGGTGAGCCCCCCAACCTCTTGCCTTGGCCCCAGCCAGGCTTCTGTAATAAGAATGACCACAGCTGACAGAGATGTAGTTCATATTTACATTTACTAGGAAGCTGGGAAGAGTCATAGGATGATCCAGGCCAATGACCTTACCTTTTGGGGGGTCTTGGTCCCTTTAGGAATCTGATGAGTGCCAGCACACACATGCATGCACAGAGACACACATACAAAGAGACACATGCACAAAGGCACACATGCACAACTCTGCATCTAGTCTCAGGACGTGTAAGGACTGGTTGCTCTCAGCTATGAATACGGAGGGATGGATGGACAGAGTTTCTGGCCCGTGTTTTAAAACTATTCAGGAGGAGCATATTGTTTGCTCTTCTTTTCCTGCTTGGACAACCCTGATCTAGTCCCACCTAGTGAAAATAGACCTGGAAAGAGAAAAAGTCCCACAAAGCACTCATGGATGAACAGACTGGAACCAGATTCTCCTGGCTCTGAGTCCAGAGCTTTCCCTCCAACCAGGTTGCCTTTCCTTCTCACACTGGGCTCCCTTGACCCTCCCCCCTTCCATGTACCCCACTTCTGGCCTGCCCCCTCATTCCTCAGTCTTTCATCTCAACGCTCTTCTTTCCCACCCACTGCATGCATGTACAGACTCAATACTGTAGGGCAGCAATTCTATTGAAATGCGCATTATATTACATGGTAGACATGATAACATACACAAGGACTCAGGCCCATCCCAGAGAAAGAGAGGATGGCTCTGGGTTAGGGCCTGTAAATCCATGTGTAGCTCATAACCTTGAATGATTTGGATGCAGGCAGTAGCCAAGAATCATAGTCTGAAGCCAGGCTGCCCTACAATTACACAGTGTGGCTGCTCAGCCCCAGCAGTTCCTGAAGCTTCCATAAGGAAGGCTTTACAGGCTGAAGACTGCATAATTCTCACTGCCCCATGCTGGGCACTTAGAGCCTCTCCTGACATTTACCCTCCAACATCTCTCTTTGATGCTCATCATTTGGAATTGTTATCCTACAACTGCGTCATTCCAGAAGGTTTAAAGTTACCATACACCAAGTGACATACTATCATGTGGATTCCATTCTTGGCAGAGCTTCTGGGGTCAGAGGTGTCAGGATGTTTTGCTAAGCACCAATGCTGCTGCCTGAGAATGGGGAGCTGGCATTCTGTGTCCTCAGAGTATGCCAAGAAGGGATGACTGAAAGCTGCAATGAAATAATGTCAAGGGTGCTGGGAGGCCTTTGTGACTCAGATTACAGCAGCCATGAAGCCAGCACTGTGGCCAGGTCAGAATGCATGGAGAAATTTCCCAGGGCCCAAACCCGCCTGTTTAGGATGATTTGAATGGAAAAAGGGTGGGGGAGATGGCTCTAAATCTTCCTTTCCAGTAAGTCAGTTTCCAAAACTTCACTGACTATAGGATAAATTAACCCTTATATCAATCTTGGTCATAATCCTCATCACCCATCTCTCCTCAACCTTGGTCTGTTTTCCCAGTTTGATCTGAAACTCCTCCAGAAAATCACCTTTGATCAACAGAGGCTGAGCTAGTCTTCCTACCCCTGCATTCACACACCAGGGGGTGTGGTGTTCCCCACTGTATGTCTTGTGCCCTTGGCCTATGTGAACTCCCTAATAGCCTGGAGCTGGTCTTCTTCTGGGTGCATCTGTACCTCCTCTCAGGGTCCAGCATCAGACCTAATACATGAACTGCACACACTCTATGTGACAGTGATGGGAAGGAGGGGAGGTGACAGAATGGCTGATTTCCAGGATCCTCCCTGGAACCATACTTCAACCCGATCACGAGAATGCTTATTTCATCCTTTCTCTAGGTGCAGGAAGCCATGCAGAAGTAGGGCTGGCAACTGCCCTCCTTTTAAACACGAGGAAATGATAACAACTGCCTAGCAGTATTTGGAGTCCTTTACATATATCGACTTATTAATCCACATAGTAACTCAATAAAATAGATGTTATTATTAGCTCCATATTGTAGTTGCTAAAATTGAGGCACCAGGAGTTAAGTAACCTGCTCAAGGGCAATAGTGCAAAAACTGGACAGGGTCTGAGCCCAGCATTTGGATTCCTAGGTATCCAAATGTCATCCTCTGACCATTGCCACTTCCTGCTGAGATCATGTAGAGCAGTGAGGGCCACACAGTTGTTCACACAGAAAGACGTAACTTGGAGAGGAGGGGAGGAGGGGCTCATTAAAATCAATACCAATGACCCTGATTTGTCCTCTTGGCAGGACTGCTAGCATCACTAATCAGGAAAATGTCCAGGATGTAAGAAAAAGCTTGGTAATTAGAGCTGCCCCAACCAAAACAGGTTGCCTTCAGGAAGGAATGGCTTCCCCATGCCTGTGAGTGTTTTACCAGAGGCCAGGCCTCCACAAGGTTTCACACACTGACCCTCATGGTGTTCTTGGGGAGATATGTATAAACACTAACTGGATGCTAGCATAGTTAGGGTCAGTGGTATGGTTAGTCTCCCAGATGTTTGATTGAGTGTCTAGAAAGTGCAGATCAGGAAGTTGACATCAAGCAGCAGAAGAGCTAAAACAAGTGTCCATTCTGGTTTTTCTGTATAGGTCAAAATTTAAGAACATCTAAAAGCACAAACAATGGGCTCAGGATTCAAAATTATCTTGGCAACTATAGGCATAACCCTGGAAGAAAATATGGTAGTTAAGGATGAAATTCTGTACCAAGATTCGTAAGACCAGAAAGGGAGAGGCCCCACTTGAGAAGAGGGTTTTTGGAAAATTGGGCGGAGCTAACATCACTCTGTGAGATCCACAGTGCGCTGTGGCTTGGAAGGCACTAACACTGGGGCATTGTGGCATTCTCACCACTGTGGGTGGCAGTGTCACCATGCTGTGCAACCTGAATGGGGGGGGGGGGAACAGAGGAGGCAAGTGCAATCAGCTCTGGCCTTGTGGGGAGGGCACTAGGGTGGGAAGAGTCAGGACACTTTGTCATATAAAACCCAACACATTTAAGAAGTGAGAAAGCAGTCTTGGAATTTGGCCAGCCACATTCAAATGGCTACAGAGCTGTCAAATGTGAGAAGGAAGAAGAGGTTATTTCTGTGTCATTTCAGGAGTCAGAACTGGGAAAATGCCCAAGAGAATTCCAGGGATGCAGCTTTCTCCGTTACCTGTAAAAGCTAGAGCCCAGGCAGGTTTCCGATGATATTCCTGCAGGAGGAGCAGAGGGGAGGTGTGTCTTAGCAGGGTGCGTGGCATCCTGCCCAGGATCTGAGGTCAGAGCCGGGCCTGCGCGGCCCGTCCCCACACCGTGTGTCTCCCAACCCCACAGATGATGGTAGTGACCCCCGGCGCGACGCACCGCCTGGCGCCGACCCCAGGGAGTACTGCATGTCTGACCGCGACATCGTGGAGGTGGTGCGCACCGAGTATGTGTACACGCGGCCCCCGCCATGGTCCGACACGCTGCCCACCATCCACGTGGTGACGCCCACCTACAGCCGCCCGGTTCAGAAGGCCGAGCTGACGCGCATGGCCAACACGCTGCTGCACGTGCCCAACCTGCACTGGCTGGTGGTGGAGGACGCACCGCGCCGGACGCCACTGACCGCGCGCCTGCTACGCGACACGGGCCTCAACTACACGCATCTGCACGTGGAGACGCCCCGCAACTACAAGTTGCGTGGCGACGCCCGTGACCCGCGCATCCCGCGGGGCACCATGCAGCGCAACCTGGCCCTGCGCTGGCTGCGTGAGACCTTCCCGCGCAACTCCAGCCAACCGGGTGTGGTGTACTTCGCTGACGACGACAATACCTACAGCCTGGAGCTCTTTGAGGAGGTGTGGGGTGGGGCAGAAGGCTGGGAGGGGGTGGGAGGAGGCCGGTGGGGGGCCACTGGTGTGGGGGCCCTTTGGAATGGGCAAGGAGGGAAACCATGGGGTGGAGCTAGCAGTGCTCCTGGGGTCAGTGTAGACTGCAGGCAACCCAAGAAGGGATGGAAAAACTCGCTGCAAACTTCTGCAGCCATCCCTGCTTCCAGGGAAGAAAGTAGGGGATGGAGGGCTTAGAACAAAGCCTTAGAAGCATGGCCTCAAGTGGTGTCATTCTATGTGCAACAGTTTGTCCTTGGAGCTTGGGAGTGGTGGGAGTCTGGGCCAGGGGAATGAGTCATTTCAGACTCTACATTGGGTAGACAGAGGTTTTGCGGCAAGAGAAAAAGCTAGACTGCAAGTCTTATGAAAAAGCATTTCAGCAGGGGTGACAGGTCAGGCCTTGCTTATGGCAAGGCAGGTTCCTCTGCAGATGCCCACTATAGAGAATGCATCTGGAAACAGGGCTGGGCATAGAGTTAATTGATTTCCCCTTCTCTGGGGACAGGCACCACACCCTATCATCAGTCCCATGTGTCCTGACTCTGGATCCCCTCTTGTAGATGCGCAGCACCAGGAGGGTGTCTGTGTGGCCCGTTGCTTTCGTTGGTGGCCTTCGGTACGAGGCCCCACGGGTCAACGGAGCTGGGAAGGTGGTCGGCTGGAAGACAGTGTTCGACCCGCATAGACCATTTGCAATAGACATGGCTGGATTTGCAGTCAACCTGAGGCTCATTCTACAGCGTAGCCAGGCCTACTTCAAGCTGCGTGGCGTGAAGGGAGGCTACCAGGAAAGCAGCCTCCTCCGAGAACTTGTTACCCTCAATGACCTGGAGCCCAAGGCAGCCAATTGCACCAAGGTAAATCCTCAGCAGAACTGACAGGTACAATGCAAGCTTTTCCCAGCCCATCCAAACGCTCCCTACAGATCAGAGGGAAGGAAATAAAGACCTCAAAACTGCCTTGCAAAGGACCAGCCTAGAACCATGCCTCCTAGAACACCCTCCCAGGAAGGTAGCTTATCCCTAGTCAGGCCATCATGCTAAAGCACGGAAATGGAGAGGGTGGCAGGCAGTGAGGAAGACCAAGGGTAACATCCCCTCCCAAACCTCAAAACAGCTAGGCTCTAGACACATGTGCCCACATATGCATGAATGTGTGCATACCTGGGTGCATGCACACGGGCACACACATGCTTGCATGCACATGTACACATACACACAGCTTCTAATTTGGACTGCTCCAGCTAGGGCCAGGACTATCACTTGGCTGAGCTGAAGCCTCCTGAAGAAATGTCTCCCTTTGTAGAGAGACCCATCAAGAAACACAGGGGAAGATGAGAAGAGGAAATCTTGGGACTTATTTGTCTATTTTCTGTAGCTGCACACTTCATATTTCCAACAGAGAATTTGAATGCACCATATGTACAAACAGCAAGATTGAGGGGGCAGGTAGAAATAAAGAACAAGGACAGGATGGAGGGGCAGCAGAAGTACCTGTGGAGTGTGGGAGGGACCCGGGAGGGGGCAGGGTGAGGTTAGGGGGGCCTGCCCCATGTTGTTCCGTGTCTCTGGACACACAGATCCTGGTCTGGCACACACGGACAGAGAAGCCGGTGCTGGTGAACGAGGGGAAAAAAGGCTTCACTGACCCCACTGTGGAGATCTGAGCCCCAGGATACAGGTATGGCAGTGACAAGGGTAGACAGACAACACACTGGGCAGGGGCACCCCAAGTGTGGAGTGGAATAAATCTGCCAAGGCTTTTCCTCTTGGTTTTTAATTGTGGGAGGACAGGGCAAATGCAGCAATAGTGGAAGAGGCACGGGACTCGAACCCATGAACCGTGAGATCATGACCTGAACCGAAGTCAGATGCTTAACTGACTGAGCCACCCAGGCGCCCCTAGGCCCCAGTTTCTTGATCTGTAAAATGGGTTGTTAGGGGAGCCAAGAACAAGCTTTGGTACATAAAGAGTCGTATATAAGTGTTGTACTTTTATTTGATTCTTTAAAAATTTCTATTGAAGTAGGCCACAGGATCTATCTACATTTTAGAGGTAAAGAAATGGTGTTCAGAGAAGCTAAATGAAGTAAATTGTGCCACCTGTTTGTCCAAGTCAGGAATTTATGGACTTTTCTATAATCTCATCCCAGAGGTGGGAGCACAGACGGTGGGATACACATCTGTCTTCTGGCCCCAGAGTTAAGCTTAACTTCTGTATCATGTTTGCAGCTGCCCTGCCCACAGGAGACCATGGAGTGTCAGTCTCGCCCGTTTTGTGCCTTGAACCAAAATATCAACTTGAACAGTGCCACTGAAAATGCATCCGTACAGAGCCCCATTCCCTGCCTCCTCACCTTGTCACTGGTCACTCTCCACCCACCTCTCAATAACGGATTTACAGAGGACCCTAGGGGTTGGGTTCTGTGGAGCTCCTGGGTGAACCCCGATGGGGGCTCATGATTGAGCAGTTTGGCCAGACTGGCTGCCCCTCACCTGCCTCCCTGCTTAAACGCCTCACCCATATTCCTCTTCTCCCCTTCACAGGAGCCTCCTCCTCAAACCCTGTTCCTGGCCTTCCATCCTCTCCCCATGGCTGATGGTCCCTCCAAGGCAAACTCCTAAGGAATCACCATCACTCTCCTTTCTATTCTGGGGGCTTCAGAGAGAGCCCAGCCTGATGCCAGAACAAAGGACGGAGAATTTAAAGCACAGAAATCCCAGACCTGTTGTTCTCTTCCATCCAACATGACCAGGGGCCCAGCTGCTAGCCAAGTCATGCCAACCAGCGAGCCAGGGCCCTGGCACACCTCCCCAGAGCTTCCTGCACTGGCAGGGCCCGAGGGAGCAGGTGAGGTGGGCACCTAAGCCCTGGGGTGATGCCAGGCTGGGAGAGAGGTGAAAAGACCCCGGCTGTCAAGTGTAGTGTGGTCTTGCTTGGCTTCCTGCTCCTGGGGCACAGCACGACTGCACAGGCCACCTGGCCAGGGAATTCTAAAGACAGAAGAGCAACCCCCTGCCCAGGCATCAGGAACACCACCACCACCACCACCACCCTCCTTGGAGAGCTACTCTCAATAGACATACCTCTCTGGCTTTCCTCTGGTTCCTATTTCCAGAGCATAAGGCTGTCTTTGAACCCAACAGGCAACACCTTGCATGAGGGGAGCCTGGGCCTGCCATCAGGTTCCCCCATACCTCAGGCTGTGGTGGGAGTGGAGTCCCTTACTCTGGCCCCACATCCCTCAAGCCTGCTCCTTCCAGCAGAGGGAAGGAGGTGGGCCCTCGAGCCAGTACAGGTCATGGACTGACCCGGACTAAGATCATGTGGGCCTCTGCCTAGACACTGCCTCCCCACTGCCCTCTGGGCTCAAGGGTCCCTTGCCTGGGCTGGGACTGGGGAGGGCAGGAGCTCTTGAGAATCATAGACCTCAGGGGCTGAAGTGAGCCAGGAGTGGGCAAGGCAGAAAAGGGAGGGAGGCAGGGGCCATTCCATACTCCTTCCTGCCCTGTTTGGGGGAGGCAGGGGCTTTGGGTTAGCAGAGGGACTTGTGGAAAAGAGGCAGAGATCATTTGGACCCAAGGGGAAAGGAGACCTGAGCACACTCTAGTCTGGAAATCATTCTATTGTAAACGCATAGTGGGAACAAAACTTCCCCTTCTCCCTGAGCTGGGAGCATGAGAACAAGCCTCCTGCTTGTTCCTTCTCCCCACCCCCACCCCCACTCCTGAGGACGAACAGTGTGCATGTGCTACTTCCCTGCACCTGGAGGCTAATGACAGGGACAGCCCTCTGCTGGCCATCACTCACGCTCCTGAAAGTTGGAAGCACAATTTTCCTCCCGACTGGAGGAAAAGGAAAGGCCTGAGCCTACTGAAGAGGTGTTTATTTTTTAACGCTAACAGCCCCCACTCCATTTAAACTCACAGGACCAGTCTGAGGACCGTTGAGAACCCACTCTTGGGTGAGTGGGTAGGATTCAGTCCAGCAACCTAACACTGAAAAAATAGCATTGGCTGCCTATTTTGAAATGGATTTAACTTCCCACAGCATTCGTGAAAGTATCCAATGGGATCATATCCCTGAGAACCCTGAGCCACCTTGCAGGACATTCCCAGCCTCTTACACTTTCAATGGTGGCTCTAGAATCAACCACTCGGAATCAAGTGGGTTGGCATGGGAGGCGAGGGAGGAGGTGTGCACAGGGCACCCACCAAATGAGTGAATTCATGCCCAGGCATGGCACTGCCTCACTCACAGAAACCAGCCCTGAATGCTCAGGTCAGCCTGGCTGGTCTTAGGCCACCTTCTTAGCCAAAAACCCAGGGCTCATTTTTCAGGAAATTGATAATGAACAACAAAATGGGATATTCTCTCTCTGTTTTTACTTTTGTTTTTTTGGCGGATGCTATTTCCGTTGTTTTCACCTAATAGCCTCTCTTAGCTGCATGTGTATTTATTTATAATTATAACCCTGGTGGACTGCAGCTTTCATCTTTGTTGGGAATGAGTTTGTGACCAATCAGAGTTGGGTCCATGACTACGATTTGTTTCCCAAACCCAGTGTGTTCCTGCTCCCCACCACAAAGGAGTGAGGCTGGGGTCTAGGAGCCACCAGAACAGAGCCTGGGGTGAGGGTGGAGCCTGTGCAGCTACACCATCTGGTCTGTTTTAACTGTATTAAATTTGTTTCCAAAATTAAAAGTCAAACATGGTTTTTAACAGCCCTAATCCTCTGCAGCCCTGCCTTACTTCATTCTCATTTACTGCTTTAGTTATCCAGCAAGTATTTACTTGGCAGGTGCCTACTTTAAGCAGGCATTATTCTAGGAGCTAGCACAGAGCACTTGTCTTCATGGAGCTTCCCTCCTTGGGGGAGGAGACAGATGGGCACCAGGCATATCTACAGTAGTTCAGATTTGATCTGGTCTAACGAGAAGTATGAGGCCAGAGGGGGGTGTCAGAGTGTAGCTGAGGGGAGCTGATCCCTTCTCTAGGGTGGTCAGAAAGGCCTCCCTGACAAGGGGACCCAGCAGAGCAGCAGAGTACACACACACAGTTACCTGGATCAGACCACTCCAGAAAAGGGAACTCACTCCTATGTGGAGAGTACTTACTTAGCATGTTTAAAGATCAGCAAAAAGGCCAGTGTGCCTACAACTGACTGGCAAGATGGGAGGGGTTAGGGTGGGAGGTAAGATGGATACAGTCGGTGGGGTGCACAGAATACATTGGCCCTGAGAACCAGGGCAAAGCCTTTGGCTTCTCCTGCAAGTGAAAATGGAACTGGAGCCATTGGAGGGTCTGGAGCAAAGAACCAAACTGACCTGTAAAGGAATCACTCCCCTTTCTGTGCTGACCATAAACAGAGGGCAGGCCAGGCTAGTGGAGGTGGCTCCTGCCATGATCCAGGCAAGAGATGATGGTGAATAAGAAGAGCAAGGCTTGGGGCAGAGAGAAGTGGTCAGGTTCTGGATGTGTCTGAGGTACGGCCAGGAGAGTGGAGTGGTGGAGTGGTTGTGCAATACGAAATGGAGAAGAAGCTAAAACCAATCTGAGACACAGAATAAAACGGCCATTTCCTGCAGGAGGAATCATGGGGTGTAACTGGACTTTGTCATCACATGTAGGAGCAAAGTTGAGTGCAGAGCCGGTAGGTCTGGAGCTCAGATGGAGATAAACATTGGAGAGCATGAATGTCGAGGCTGTTTACAAACCCTGGTTAGTGATGCCACCCACAGTGAGTGTGGGCAGAGGGAAGAAGAGGCCCAAGGAGCGAGCCTGGAGATGTGGGGGTCATGAGGAGTCTTCTAAAGATTCTTTGATGAGGCCGTCCAGTAGGGAAGGTCTGGACAAACATGAATAAACTCTGGAAGATGAGCTCTGCCAAGGGGCTTTGACAAAGAGAAGCTTCAAGGTTAGATGGCAGATAAGAAGGTCAAGAACAGTAAGTTGGTACATGAGGACCAATGAATCCTTGCACAGATTTGGATAAAAGCAATTCAAGGGGAATGCTGCACTTTATAAAAGGATTCACTGTAATATTCATTTAAATACCAGTTCCCTATCACATCTTCCAACAAAGCCAACTTGTACATACACCTTTGTAAAAACATGGTCAGGTATAAAGTAAGGTGCAGTGGTACTGCTCCCAGTGCTGGTCATCCCCAAATAGCAGGACCTTTGGGCCCAGCGCTTGTAACTGTCTGTCCTTGACCCAGGCTCAGCTCATGGGCCCAGTGGCTACCTACCACAAATGCCCTACTGCAGAGTCCTTTCCTTAGCCAAGCCCAAGATGTAAGCCATGGGGTGGCTGGGAGCCTGCTATTCCCCACGTCTTCATGGACTTGTGGCATAGGCACGGTCCTGGAGAGGTGTTGGCTACTTAAGTTTGATTATTACTGGCAATAATTATCTTGTGGAAGTACAATCCAGATGTTATTTGTAAGGAAAAGTCACCCTCTGTAGCTAAGTCACATGTCGAGCTCTTGGCTATCTAGCAGATTCTTAGAACTATCCACCAGCACCAGAGTGAATCTATACTTGACTTCTCCTCCTCTCCAAGTCCAAGGACTTCTGATCCACAATGACATTTCAGGCAGAATGAAGGTCAGGAGGAAGGTGGTAAAGAGCCAGAAGCTAGATCATCCCCTAACTGGGTAAAGCCAGTGTCTAGATTCTCAGTGCCAGATGGACTAAATGGGTGCCTGACCCCACAATGCCTTTGCCTGTGGTAAACAGGGGCACAGATGAGATCAGAAATATCACTTAAAAGGGTTTGATTCAATTCTTGCTTTATTGCAATTCAGGACAGTGAACCTGAGCCCCTGAACTTGATCAAGTGAATCAAGTGAACTTGATCCCTAGAACAACCACCTCAAATTTGGACAGATAATTGCAAAGGAAGGCTGCCTCTCCTCCCTCCTGCTTAGTTACAAGGACTGAAGGAGAGAGAGAACAAGCTGGAAGCAAGGTCTGGGCTAGGCCTGTAGGCCCTGTGGCTACACCAACAGAGCGGGGAGGCTCCCTGCCCAAAACACTGGAGCTGGAGCCTCAGATCAGGGTGTGGTTCCTACTAGGACCTACATTCCCTCCTCAGCTGATGTTCCTTCTCATCAAGCAAAACTGGAAATACTCTCTAATCTAGACTGAGTATTTCTGTTTCTCCTAAGCTTGGCTTGTCATCCTATCAGATGCAGTTAAAGTGGAAAGGAAAAGGAGACGATGTATGTGTCTCTCAAATGGAGCTTCTTCCAGAATCCCAGAGAGAGGTGAGACATCCACCCCCTTCCCCATCCTCAACAAATGGTGACAAAGCTTCTATTTCAGAAATGAAAAGGGGCCATGAGGGCCATGGCTGAGTGCAGGCAAGAACATCACGGGAGCAAACCTCATCACGTGCAGATCTCATGAGACATTCCCACCCCCAGAGAGACATCCCTCTGTCCTCTCCCAGAAAAGCAGGCAAGAAGGAAAAATGCCATCAACAAAGCCCAGTCAAGAAGCCATTTAGGTAAGAAGGGGGTCCCTTCCTCCTATCCCACTTCTTCAGTTCTTCCAAGTTTAGGGTCTTGAATTCAAGTAGGGGGCAGAGCTGTAGCTCCCTGTCTGCCTGAGAATGCTACTTAAGGAAACTCTCCCGCATGGGAGGGTGTCAGGGAGCAGAGCACCAGGCCTTCCTCAGCCCGGAGGACAGTGGTGCTCTCCTGCTTCCCACCACCAGGGGGTGCGGAGCGGTGCTGTTCAATCAAGGTACTGGTTCCTGCCTAGATGGGGTGTTTCAGTGAACTGTATCACAGGGCTTGCCATCTTCTCCTCGAAAACAATGACCTGGGGGAGAAAAGGGCTGGTGTATGACAGCAGCCGAGATGTGTCTTGGAGCCAGATGAGGGTACCTCAGGGGAAGGGATTGAGAACCAGGCTGGAAGGAACGGGGACTCATCAGTGCCAAGGAGGAACACAGAAGGGGCTGGCTAAACCTTCTGCCCCCTCTCCTGCCCTAACCAGCCTTAATAGACTGTGACCCAGGGCCCCCAGGGAAACACTGTGATACAGGGGAGGGCTGGGACGAGGGAAAGACTTGCAAGTATTCCCACCTGGTTGATACCTTGATCCAACCAGGCACCTGGGAGGTAGAGGGTCTCCTGGGGTCCAATGTTCCAGTAGCGTCCAAGGTTTTGGCCATTGATGAATACAACCCCTTTCTCCCAGCCCTTTAAGCAGAGTGGGAAAGGGGTTAGTTGACTATGAAAGGCACTGAATATAAAGTCACATGGAAAGACAGACAGACACATGCCTTGTGTTCTTCCCTCAGCTTCCAAGATATCAGTGTGAATGGATATTTTGACAGCCATGAGGTTAACACATGGGGTATTCTATCTCCTGTTTCCACTAGCTCTGAGTCTCCCTAGCAAGGCACCCAAGCTCACCCCTGGACCCTGAGAAGTATCACCAGGTGGTTATTCTGCTTTGAGTCCACTCCCTTACCCCAGGGAGGCCCCAGGGACCCTTCAGAGAGGGCAACACCAAGACAGAGACTCTCAGGGTGCAGGTGATAGAGAAGGCTCCAGCAAGGGCAAGTACAGGGGCTTGGTCTCAGAGCCCTCAGAGGGAAGACTGGAGAACCCAGGCAGGGAGGGGACTACAAACCTCCAGCTTCATGAAGGTGTCAAAAGGGGAAAGGGAAATTGACAAGGCACCCAAAAAGAAAGCAGGGAACGTAGGTACTGCAGGAATGGGGCTCCATTTGTCGATGCTGAACCTGTGAACAGAACAGAAGACAAGAAAGAAGGAGGGGACTTTCTCATATCAGGACCCTGTCCCACACTCAGTCGCAAAGGTATCCCAAATTCCCCCCACGTGTTAACCACGGTATCACGGAAATTCCCTAGTCTCTAGCAGTGGTACTGCTCCTACTTGGGCAAGCTGCTCTGGGCTCTGAGTCTGTTTACACTTGAGTGGGAGGAGCTAGGCCAGAGCAGGGCCTTCCTGGCTCTTACTGCATGTTATCCACGGGTACACACATTTCATGGGGTGGGGACCCACCTCTGAAAGAAGCTCTTTTTCATATCCAGGCTGTAGATTCTGAATTTTTTCAGGGGAGAATCATTCAGATAGATATTTCCAATTAAACCTGTGGGAAGAAGCCAAGGAAACATGAGTAAGGCTAAAGGCAGGGGCACAGCTGACCCAGTGACAGCCTGGCACATACATGGAGAGTTTCTGGAAAGTTCAAGTGAAAATTCCTCCAGAAGTATATACTGCCTACAGAGATCTTCACATGGTATAAAACCTTCTCTAGTAATCCCAAAGGAGAGAAGAGTGAGTAATGGCAATATCTGCCAGGCCTTCCCTAAGATTTGCATGGAAGAATACATCTAAGGGCAATGACAAGGCTGAGAATGTCATTGGGTGAGAACAGTCTCTGGCCTCTCTCTGAAGAGGAAACTCCCTTTTAGGGATGAGAATTCCAACACAATCAAATAAGGCCCAATGGACAAACGATCAAGAGGTCACAGCAGTTCTAACTTAGCTTCAAGGTCAGATTCAGTGGGGTCCCAAACTAAACAGACCTAATAACTCAGCCAGAAATCTTCTACATGGCCTAAGAATAAGGATACATTGTTTAAGTATTTGAATTGTGAACAGATGGCAATATGATTTGGGCATCTGACTCTCAGAACTCATGCACACTTGCATAGTGATTAGTGCCTCGGGGGAGGGGCCATCGATGTTCATCCTGGAGCAGCTCCCATGGTCCTCACAATCATGGAGCTGCTAAGTTGCTGAAGAGGGATTGCAAATAGGGTGGAGACCGCAAACAGGTTTCATAGAGCCTGTGGACTCTTAAATGGCAGGAACAGGTGTGTATGGTGGGAGGTCTATGACTTATAAACACTGAACTGTTACAGGGGTAAGTACTCCACAGTGAGAGTCCAGGTCACATCTTAATCAGGGATCTGAGAAGCAAAGACTGGGAACAGGGTCAGGCTGGTAGTCCCTTCCTGCCCCCAGGAGAGCAAAGGAAGTGAAGAGAGGCCTAGAGATGGAGCTCTTTGGAGGAAGAAGACGAAATCTAGAGAGGAACACTGGGGGGTTGCTTAGGGGAAAAGGAAGATAAGCCTGGACAGTGCTAAAAGCAACTGTGAGGCCCAACTGGAGAGAGCCAATCCCCAGGACCCAAGAAGCCCCCAATGACTGGGCCACAGTGTTTCCCTAGCAGGCAGGGAAGGGATCCACAGACTTCCTCATTACAAAGGCAAACACCCATGAGAGTTGGGAGGTCACCAGTGTCCCTTACATTGGTAGGATTTATTTGTCTAAATTCTTATGTCAAAACTTACATGAAACCACCCATATTTTGACTGATGAAAAGGAAGACGCAAATTTAAGCAGAGAAGATTTTGAAGACCAGGAAAAATAGGGGCACTTGGGTGGTTCAGTTTGTTGAGCATCCAATTCTTGATTTTGGCTCAGGTCATGATCGCACAGTTATGAGATCGAGCCCCATGTCAGGTTCCACACCGGGCATGGAGCCTGCTTGGGATTCTCTCTTCTCTGCCCCTCCCCCACCTCTCTCTGTCTCTCTCTGTCTCTCTGTCTCTCTCTGTCTCTCTCTCTCTCTCTCTCAATCTGTCTCTCTCAACAAACAAACAAAACCCAGGAAAAAATAAAATGAGTTGGTAAAATATTCCTAGGGGAGCATACCATCAAGACCATTTGTTTACTGTATGTACTACCTCCTCCTCCCCACCACAAATGAGACTATCAATGAATTTCCAAGGTGGATCAGGAAAATAAATTGAGGGTAGAGATCCAAGAAGGCAAGGCTCCTATGCCATTTTTGGATTTCTGTGAATCCCCTTCCTTAAGTCTCACCACCCCCACCCCAACCCAAGCAGATAGTCCCCTGCTAAAGCAGACTGCAGCCCAGAGAGATCTGGAAAGGTTGACTCAGTGTTTCCTATGTGTTCACCGTGGACATGTGGGCAACACGCACAGGAAAGAGGTCAGAACCCAGGTGGGACTTTCAGGCCCACTTCCACCTCCCTCTAATGCACTTCCATGGTTCAGCTCCCCCCAATGGCTCTCTGCAACTCATTTGTCTCCAATAGGCCTCTACAAACCACTTCCTTCCAATGGGCCTCCATGACCCATCTCCGTTCGATGGGTTTCCATAACCCAATTCCCTCCAATGGGCTATAATGACTCCACCTCACTAGAGTCAGCCTCCATGACCTGCAGGGATGCTGGTATGAAGAAAAAATAGCCAGGCACTGCTAAGCACTAGAAGATCTTCTCTCAGCACATGCTATGACCCACCTTTGCGCTGGTCATCAATATTATCCCCGTAGTTGACTCGCCCACGATTCTCCACCAAGATCCTCAGCCTGGTGTAACCCTGCCAGGAACATAGTGGTCGACGATGACTGCCTGATTACCCAGCCATAAGCTGTACCTCAGAGTTTCTTTGTGGAACCCCAGTTCTTCCCTGAACTCTGAGGATGAGGGTGAAAGAGTACCCACTGATCAGACACTAATGCTCTGCCCCTCTTTCCATCAGCATCTCTGTGGTTAATAAGGCTCCTGTATTCCAGGTCTTCCTCTCTGACTCCCACCAAATCTGCTCACAAAGCAGCTGGTGCTAGCCATCACCCAGCTCCCCAGAATAACAAACCTGGATCAAAGGAATAACAATCTTCTTCTTTTCATAGTCCAAGAATCCTATAGACACTGTGTTCACAAATACCTGCCAAATGGATGGACAGAAAGCATTCATGGGTCCACAGGAGAGAACAAGAGGAATCTCTGATAAGCAAAGGAAGGGGTAACATTATGTGTGTGTGGTTAATATGGAGGTTAGTCAGGCATAGAGAAAAATGAATGCCCATGATTGTAGCTGAAAAAGACAGCAGGGTTGACAACAATGGGCCACTTCTACACAATGGTACCAGGCAGATATGTGAGCACTCAGGAGAGAGAGTCAGATGTATATGGTAGGACTGGATGACTACAAGGTCACAGGAATTAAAAGAAGATGTTCCGACCTGTCCCCGGTCACGCACAAGACCACTAAGGACACCGGATGAAGCAATGGTAGTCTCATACAGAGTGTACCCAAAGGACTGTCCATTTCCATTGTTTATTGGCAGGTTCTCCATATTGACCGGCTTTTCAGAATTGACTGGCTGTAGAGAGAAAAGTCGAGAGAGATGGAGGCTAGGCAGAGGAGAAAGAGGCAGCAACTTCATCTTGAGCCTTCTCAGGGAGTGTGGAGTAGCAGACAAATCCCCACCTGGGGCTGGGGGCAGGGCGGGGAGCCTTCTAACCTTTTCTACTAGTTTGACTTCTCATTACACAAACATGGGGAGCTAATCCTGCCAACTGGCTCTCCAAGCTCCAAAGTTCTGATTTTGACTTCTCATCACATTAACCCATGGCTATCCAGGGACTCAGGGGTGTGTGAAGGCAATGGAATGAAGCCCAGCAATGTACCAGAACTGTGGCCTTTCAATCCACCACCACTTCTGTATCAAAGCACACCCTCTGAGTCAGCTCCAGGGTACACCCTCTTCTCAGATGGGGATAAAGCCCACTCACGGGCCTCCTCAGCCTCCTCTCTGTGCACCCAGGCTGGAGAAAAGGACTTCCTACTGTGTTACCCAGTTTTTCTTCAAGTTCTTTTTGCTCCTTCCCACTTCATACTCTAGCACAAGTCTTTTCTCTTAACTCTGAGCTCTAAAGTCAGAAAGTAGACCTCAAAGCTATCAAGCATTGTTTTTCCCTCTCCACAGCCCTGCTTGGCTGCCTAGCAACTGCCCTGGCTTCCCCACGCTGCCACACTCACCTCCTCCATGTACTGCAGGGCATCCCACAGTGACAGGTACAAATTCGGTCTCAAGGGCTCATATGAAATCTTGGGAAGAAGGTCAGGCTGGGGAGGGAGAGGAACACCTGCAACACAGACGAGAGGGCCATCCCAAAGGACCCAAAAAGTCATCGCCTCCTCCAGCCTCCCTAGCCCCCGACTCACGCCTGTCCACATCCCAGTGTGACCCTTTTTTCTGGAGCCAAGATGTAAACAGTCTTAGACTGCCTGATCCCCACTGGGAAGGCAACATGGGGTTGGGATGCAGGGGACTTTCTCATACCCTCAGGAGTCTTACCACCCAGAGAAAGATGAAGCTGCAAACACACAAACTATGATGAAAACAGTCTCTCAAACTTGCCTGTCCTTGTCTAGGAATGTTCTTGCACACAGGTCAACTGAGGTTGAGGTGGGATAGTGAAGAAGTAACTCTTTAGGGGTCTCAGAGCAAAAGTAAGGGCCCAAATCAGTGCTCAAGTCTGCTGACTGCCAGGTACCTGAGATGGAGCCAAAGAAACTTCGGAGCTTGAAGTACTTAGCTGTGTAATCCCCCGCTTCTGTCAGCACGGCGTCGTAGTCTGCAAGACACCAGGACTCTGTCACTTGTCACCTGTGTCACAGGACAGTGTCCACAGCAGAAAAAAAAAAAGAGAGAGAAAGGAGAAGCTGGCGTATAGAGGCAGGGTACTCATCTCAGCAATTGGAGGCAAAACACTTTTGGTGTGAGCCATCAGTCTGATTTTAGTACAATAAATACTAAATGCTGTAAAGTGCCACCAAAAGTGCCATGGCCATAGCATGGCCCTCAATTTCCTGCATTTTGCCTACCTTCTGCAGACTCTCAGACTAAGGGGGGTCAGAAGTCACACATCTCAAAGGCCCAAAGAGGCTGCACTCATCAAAGGACCTGCCCTCACTCTGGCTATGCCCCTCACTTCCAGAGACTCACAGGGATGACCATGGGCTTCAGTCTCATACTGGTCGATAAATTTAAAAGTGACAATCCGGGCAAAACCATCCCTTCCCCATGCACTCTAGAGCCAAATGCATTAAAGGCACCAGATGCTGCCCCAAAGGATTCTCCATAAAAAGCCCCAGACATTCAAATGTGGGGTGTTCCAGGGAGGGTTGGTGTCAGGGACTACTTACCATAGCTGGTAACATCAGACTTATATTCATGAAAATGCATGGCTCCATTTATGAAGCCAAAGTTGGTGCCTCCATGGAACATGTAGAGGTTGATAGAGGACCCGGCATCGAGGATGGCAGACACTGTTTTTAAAACCTCTGCAGCAGGAGGGGAGAGAGGGGATGTGCAGAGTGAGTCAGAGATTGGAACAAGCATCTCAGTTTTCCTGATCCCCCAACCCTATCAAATTCAACTCCAGAGCTCTGCCCTTCAGCTTCCACTAGAACTGCAATCACAGAACATGAGGGGTACAAAGAGAAATGGGCCAGCACCACAGCCACCAAGCTGCAGCCTTCCAGAAATATCAACTACTTTTATACACACACACACACACACACACACACACACACACACACACACACGTATTGGCAATCAGACTGGAAAATATTAAAAATGTTTAATACTCAGTATTAATGAATCTGTGGGAAATAAGTATTCTCATTTAATAATAGTAAGAATTGCTAACATCTTGCCAGAGGGCAGTTTAGTACATGTATATCAAAATTTCATTCATGTAGCAATTCTACTGCTAGGAACTTACCCTAGGGAAATAATATGCCATGTATGCAAAACTGGATGTTCAAGAATGTCCACTGCAATGGTGTTCAATTAACAAAAACCACTGGGGGGCACCTGGGGGGGGTCAGGCATTGAGCTCAGGAGTTGAGCATCCAACCCTTGAATTTGGCTCAGGTCATGATCCTGGGGTCATGAGATCAAGTCCTTCCTGCATCGGGGGCCCCCACACTGAGCACTGGAACCTGCTTAAGATTCTCTCTCTCTCTCTCTCTCTCCCTCCCTCCCTCCTTCTGCCCCTCCCCCACTCATGCTTGCACTCTCTAAAAAAAATACATTAACTAAAAATAAACTAAAAACAAAATGAAAATCACTGGAAACAGCCTAAGTATTCATCAATAAGAGAATGGCTAAATAAATTGTGTTTTAATCACCAATACCACAGGGTTCTTTGCATTCTTTAAATCAGTGATGGAATCTCTAATAGTATGGAAAGGCTCTCCATTTGTGTCAGTCACTAGCACAAGTAGGTAACACAGAGCTGATGCAACTGCATGTGTCCATGTCTTTATCTGTGTATGCGTACATGGCTGCAGACATAGATAGTAAACTACCAGCACACTCTACAGCTGACCCTTGAACAACATGGTTTGAGCTGTGCAGCTCCACTTATATATGCTTTTTTACAGTGCAGTGCTGTGAAGTATTTTCTCTTCCATATGATTTTCCTAATAGCATTGTCTTCTCTCTAGCTCGCTTTATTGTAGTAATACAGTATATGATACATACAATGTACAAAATATGTGTTAATCAATTGTTCATGTTTTCGGTAAGCTTTGGGTCAAGAGCAGGCTGTTAGTTCCATTTGGGGTGAGTCAAAAGTTATGCACAGAATTCAACTGTGCAAGGGGTCAGCACCCCTAACCTCCACATTGTTCAACAGCCAACCGTATGTGTTTTCTCTGGGCTCTGGGATTTTTATTTCTTCTTTCTATATTTTCTGTATTTGCTAGGAGTTTGCAATAGGCATGCATTACTTATCTAATACATAAACATAATAAAGCACTGCTAAAAATCTTACCATTCACTTCAAATGTCAAGACAAATGACTCTAGAATATCAAGAGCTGAATATAACATGAAGATAATCCCAAGAGCCTTGCACCCTACAACTCATTTACATCAATTAGCAGGTTATTTGGAACTGATTTTTAACATGTAGGTCAATACACATGGTGGATGTAGGTACAGCAAAGCACTCACCAGAAGAATCCAGGATGTTGTGTGGGCCTCCCCATGAGTCAAACCACCCTGTCCAGTACTCCATCACCATCTTGGGCTGAACCCTCTGGGTACCACAAAATGAGAAGTTAGCTGGCCAAAAGATGCAGAAAGGAGCTCTTTCTTCAGGGAAATCCCAGCCCCTCTACCCTCCCAACTCTTCCCTAGCCACCCACTCCTTGACTTAAGGGCTTATCAAAAGCAAAGCACAGGTAAGAGCCAAATGCACCGGTACCAGCTTAATCTCCACATGTGACATCCATGCTACAGGTGAAAAGTGGAACAAACTACCACAGCTGATAAAGGAATCCCTGCTGCCATAATGTGGTTTTAATGTTGCATACGGTGATAGTGAGAAAATACAGGGATGTGTGTTCAAAGTAAGTCTGCATTAGAATTCAGCATGTGCTCTGAGAATCTTTTCCTACATTGGTTTGCTTTCTGGGTCAAGCCAAGAAAGGGAAGGAGAGTGTTCTATCAGGATAATTCCATTTCTGAAGGGCACGCCAAGTATGCAGACCCCTCAGGTGCTATAAAAGTCAGAGGGCTATAGAGTGGGCCCTTTCTTGAGGTCTAGCTATACAAAAGTCTTCAAAACTGGATAAGAAAATCAGGGCATCATATAGCACATCTATTCACACTTCAGGCGCTGCAGCCACAATATGTGGTTTCACACCTTGGCTAGGATGTTCAATAACAATTAAGTCTTTACTATTACCTCAGAATACTGACTTTGGCATGGGATTGCCCCTGGGATGCAGAAATCATTCCCACAGCCATGCTCTATTCTGCCATGTTTGCAGAAGAACCAGAGCATCTGGGGGAGGTGTAAGGAGTAATTTGCTGATATTTCAGTTTCCGCACCAGAGAGCCTTCCTCATTTATCAAGTACTTTCTCTGTTAGCAATGGCCTTACATTTAGAGGGTAACACATACAGAGCAATAAAATCTGGTCCAGAGTGATGGGGTAGATTTATTATCCATCGAGTAGAAGATACCATCTTCACCAGAATAAAGGCCAAAGTAGTCACAACAATTTTTTTAGCAAGACTGGTAGCTTGGTTGTCTTTACACCCATCTCCCTCCCAAGAAGGGGATACACTGTACCATGTTTAAGTCACTAAGGGAGAAGTAGATTCTAAATGTCACATGTCAATTAGTCTCCAGTGCCAGGAGGGAGCTCCCTGACTTGAGGATGCCAGGGCCAAGGTATGAGGGTGTCTACCAGTGGCCCAGGTCACTGCCCCACAGAATGTGGTGAAGAGCCAGAGCTCTGCCTCAATCAGACTGTGATGTACTCCCTCACCAGCCACTTACTGGGTGCTCTATTTGTTCTACAAATCTGTGTCCTTAACTGTACAATGAGTAGACAGCTCACCTGGTTGCTGGGAGAATTAAATGAAATAATACATGTAAAGCCTTTAGCACATGGTGCCTACCACTTGGGAATTGCTCAAGAAACTATCACTGGACATGGACATGAAGGACCCAGTGAGGTTTGGACATCCCAGAGTTAAACAGAGCTGGACCTATTCTATTTGAGCATTCAAAGCAGCTTTGATCTAAGTCCAATTCCTTGAGGAAAACAGACATCACTGAACTGTGGACAGAAAGGCCATTGGCAGTATCAGTCTGTCAGCAGGATGACCTGGACTGCGTGCACAGGCATGGGGCCCCTCTCTAAGGATGATTATAAAGGAGCCATCATGAAGCCTTGCTGTCCCAGGTACTTTCCAAATATTATCTCATTTGATCCTCAACCCCATGAGTAGGTACTGTCATCATTCACACTTCACAGGAAAGAGAAGCACAGAGAAGTCACACTATAGAGTGGGTAGAGGGGCAGCTCACAAAATCCTATACCTGCCTTGGACCCCACTCAAGCATAATCCTACTCAGTTGTTGGGCAACTGTTTATTTGACACGTCTCTCCACAGGTAGGTCACACATCCCATGAGGACACAGACCCTACTGCCTTTGTCACTGCAGGCCACACTCCACACGCAGTGCCTTCACTGGAGAAAGGAAGGAAAGAAGACCTGGGCCCACCCAGAGCTACTATTTCTCCCCCTGATCAGCCTAACAAAATCTGCCTGGGGTCAGTTCCTATCCTGCCCTATCTCTTCTCATTCCGCTTATCCCTCTAAACTCAAGAAGTAGCCACATCATACACATTGGCTGCCCTCATCCTCCATGGCTTCACACTGCCACGGTGACTTCAGATGGATGTGCCTTCAGACGCTACTTCTGCTCTACAAAAGGAAAAGGTGGGATATAGAACAGTCCCAGCATATCTGTGGGCATCTATTCATGAGTGATATGATCACTCCAACAGCTCATTGATCCAACAGGGATCAATCCCTACATCTAATAGGTGGTAACAGTTTGGAGCACACCCTTCAGTAAGACATGGTGAAAGATGGGCCCTCAGATCTGTGAATGGGCTGTGGCCAGATTCCATCTGCCTCCTTAGGAAAGACAGGCACATGAACTCTAGAGAAGAGAAATCAATCAGAATAGGATTTAACTGTAAACTCCCATCAACTTGAGATATGTGGACTTATACTCAGAAACTCCTCTCTCCTCTGACCTGAAATGGCTCAGGTTTCCCATTTTACTCTTGACAATAATCGTTCTAGTCCTACAGGGGTCTTACAGGTTAAGGTCAGACACACAGGACAGGACAGAAAAGCATTTTTGTGGAGTCCACAAAATTCTAGTCCAATGCCTCTATGAGCATACTGAGCCTAGAATTCCAAAAAGGGCCCCTTTCTCAAGAGGCAGGAAACCACATCCATGCATCAGTCTATATAGCAACAACTCAAGAGAAATTTCTCTGCTTCTATGCTGCTCTTCTGATTGGGGGAACAGCAACATGGAGACCACAGGGGTTGGGAGCCACAGTGCAAAAGGATGGCTATGAGATGAAAGACTGAGCAAGTCCTGAGTCCTTCTCTTCCTGATCCAGAGCCTTGGGCATAGCTGCAGGTACCCCAAAACACCACCCACTTTCTGACAGAGATTCCACTTGACTCTAGAACTTCCTACACTCACACCAAGGAGAACAGGCAGCTGTCCCTGGGCCAGACTTACCTGGACACTTAAGAGAAAGTTGGTTAATAACTCCAGCTCATGCTGTGATTGCAAGTTGATGGTGGCCAGCACTGTGAACAGAAAGCAAAAAAGAGAAACCATGGTCTTAAAGCCAGGGAGACCTTCTGAATTAACCAAGACCTTTCCCAATTCATCAGCAAAATAAATTAACCAATCTTGACCTTGCTTCCCACCTCCAATCAGAGTTAAGTTCCTCTGATGTCAGGAAATTTATCTTATTCGTCTTGGACACTCTACCATTCAGCATAGAGCTTACAGGGCAGTCACTCACTAGGCATCTGTTCTTAATTAACATAATTTTTACAATGAGAGTGTGCATTTCTGTTAGTTATTCTTTTGTAGGAGCCCAGAGTCCTACAAAATGTTTATTTTGCACCTCAAGTATCTAGTGCAAGGTAACAATCTAAATGAAAACTCTCCTTTTATTCCTTAGATGAGGACTAATTTTGGATTCCATTCCATAATGTGTCCATTTTATAATTTAAAATTATTTTTTAAATGATACCAGTGAGGGGTGTGTGGGTGGTTTAGTTGGTTAAGTGTCCAACTCTTGATTTTTGGCTCAGATCATAATCTCATGGTTCATGGATTTGAGCCCTGGATCGGGCTCTGCACTGAGAGTGCAGAGCCTGCTTGGGATTCTCTCTCTACAAACAAATAAACATTTAAAAATAATAATAAATGGCACCAGTGAAAGGTATGCCAGAGAAATATATGCTATATTTGGCCTGTGGCCATGGATCCCTTGGCCTACCTCAGCTGCAGAACTTGGCTCTGAGGCTCCTTGCCTGCCTGTTGTCTGCCTGGACAGTGGGACTCAGAGGCACTCGGCTTGGTCTTAGCTCCAGTGGGTCTGGGAATACATGACAGAGACCGGGCCAGCCTACCAAGCTGGCCACCCTGATACTCTCCTGTTGGACATACGCCACTGATATACCAATGATTAAAAATAAACAATAGCTGAAGCTCTAGGAGGTTAAAAAAAACTTGTTTCAAGGTCACACAATTGCAGAGCAGCAGAGTAGGTCTACAACCCTAGGCCCATCTGACATGGACCCATTGTCCTTGGATGTCACCATCCTCTAGCAATCTACTGGATAAGACTCTACATCGAGACCCCTCCTCACTTTAAGGAGAAACCTTGAAGACAAGAGGCCTATTTGAAACTGAGCAGGCAAAAATCTCAGACACGAACAGGATTAGCATGGCTAACAGAGCAACTATCATTGACACAGCAACTATTCCTAGTTCCTCACACACCACTAAAATAAAAATATAGGAATGTAAAAGTGGAAGGTTGTAAAGAACAAGACCTAAAGAGAAGACAAAGCAGAGAGCAAGTTTCAAGAAAATCTCAGGAGACTGCAAAGGGCAACGGTCAGTAACCAGCCTAGGAGAGTTGAAGAAGTTTTGACTACACACCACTTCCAGCCTAAGGCCTTGCCTTACCTCCCAGGCACCCATGCAGTGGGAGGACACCTCCGTCCCCTGCCTCACACACTCCTCAAGGCTCTTCCCCAGCCTCTTCCCCACTGGTGCCCCACCCCTGGGGCCACACACACTCTGGGAAAGCTGAGCCCAAGCATCTCCAGGCTTGGAGGGATCTGCACAACAGAGTATGGAGAAATTTGCAGCGGGGCAGTAAGGGCCATCTCAGCCAGGGGATTCTTGCCCATTCCTCCTGCCTGCCTCTAGCAACAGATCAAAGGATTCTTCTCTGGAAACACTATCTCCCCAAACACTGACATTTGGGCTTCCATCCTTTAAATAGCACACCCGTGCCAACACCTGCCCCAGCTTCTCCTGGCACTCATTGCCAGGTGGCTGGTAAGTGCCTCCTCCTTAAACTGCTCAGACAAGAGCCAGACAATTTAGAAAAGTCCCCTCATATGGAAGATTGAGCAGAACTGGTAAATATTTTTTTTTAAAAAAGTCACACATCCTCAAAGCGAGGTAAGAAAGATAGCGTCCATTTAAAAAGCATGCCTTGAGAAAAGAAATATATTCAAGAAAATAAGATCCAGGAAAAAAGAGACAGATTACAAGACAGAAATTGAGGACGTCACCCAGAAAGTGGAACTAAAGGGTAGAGATAAATAAAAAAGATAAGCAACTTAAAGAATTGTTGTAAGAGTCCAATCTACAAATAACAGGAGTGACCAAAAGATCAGAAAAAAAGAAGGGAAACATTAAAAAAAAAAAAAAAAAAGTACTGACTGGAAGTCCCATTGACAATGACCACAACTGTTTCGATTCAAAATACTCACAAAAGTGCCACAAAAGGAAAAAATCTCACACCAAACATCACTGTGAAATACCAGAATACCAAGAATAAAGGAAAATCCTGTAATTTTCCAGAAATAACACACACACACACACACACAGAATATATAAAAGGATCAGGAGCCATAATGTCCCTGTATCTCAGCAGGGACAGCAGGTGCTAGAAAACCAGAGAACGGTGCCTTCACAGTTCCAGAAAAGAGATGGGGCAGGAAACCCAGAGGTCGGCCTCAGGTGGAGCCCAATCAGGTCAGGGGCAGTGGGGTCTCAGACCCATTGGACCTGACACAGAATGTGATATACAGAGGCATCTGAAACACAGCGTGACAGGAATTTGGAAGACCTTTGGTAAAGGTATGTTTAAAAGAGAAAGGGGGGGGGGGTACACCTAAAACTAATGTACTATTGTGTATCAACTATGTGTGTGTCGACTTAAATTTTAAAAACTAACAAAAAAAAAAAAAGAGAAAAATGGGAGAAAGGAGAAGGAAAAAAGGATTGAAAGGAAAAGAGAAATGAACGGGAGTGAAAACCGATCACACGGAAAGCGAGCCGGTCACAAGTACTGCCCAGCGCATCGCCCGCACCGCTACGGGCAGGAAGGGCATTTCCACGTGGGTACCGCAGGCACCAAGACACCCGTCGGAACTGACTTAGCCACACCGCCGGGAACGCCGCGGGCCCGGGTCACTTACGCGGAGCGCGAAGAAGAGTAGGCCGCGTCTCTGTGGTTTTACTTTTACACCTGGTGAATGCCTTACTTTTATTACATTTTTAAGTAATTGAAAAAAGTCCTCCTGGGCAGCAAGCCGGGCTCTGGAGTTCGAGCGAGTTAGGGAGAACCAGGAAGGGGTTGGCAGCTGCGGAGCGGGGATGGGGCAGGGGGGGCGTGGCAGGGGCGGAGCGGGGGTGGGGGTGGGGGCGGGGGCGGGGGCGGGGGTAGGAGGGGGCACCGCGGCGGGGCGGGGTGGCGAGGGGTGGAGCGCGCCGTGGAGAGGGCAGGGTGTCCAGCGGCCGGCCTCGGAGACTCCCTAGTGCACCGGAGGCCTTGTTCAACACAGTGCCGACACGCTAAAAATGTGCACCAGCCTTCAAAGGGCCTTGCCTGCCCAGCAGCGGCCATAGCCCCTCCTAGGCCCCTCCTGGGCCCCACAGAACGGCACGGGCCCTGGAAGCCTTGGAAGCAGTCACAGGAGACAGTGCCACCGCGTGGAAATGGCGGGAATCACTGCTGGTCCTTGAGGAACTCAATGGTCTGGGGAAAGGGCCTTCTGTCCATTCATCCAGCAGTCGCGCCCTGAGCGCCCCCTGCTGGCCGGCGCTGGCTAGGGCTGCAAAGATGAAAGGCCCTATCTGTTCAGTCTAGTGGAGGGAGGGGTGGACGACGCAGAAAGTACGGAAACCTGCATGCGCTGCAGCAGGCGAAAGCAGGTTGTGGGAGCCCACAGGATGCACCTAGCAGCTCATAGGAGGCCCTTCAACCACCATCATCTATGCAGAGCACGAACTGAACTGTGTCCAGGCACAGGAGCACAGCCTAACCAGAGGGAGCTCAGGCCCTGGTGGTACTTACCGCTGCAGTGAAACAGGTAAATAAAACAGCCACTCAGAATGTTAGAAGGCCAAAATAACGCAGGCTCGAAGGGCCAGGTGAGCTCCAGGAGGAGCTTGGGTGTTTGGAGGAAGCCTCACTTGGAGGTGACCTCAGACAAAAGCGGGAGGAGATGGAACAGCCATCTGCAGGAAGGCTGAGGGTGTCCAGTATGTTCCAGGAACAGGTAGGAGGCCAGAAAAGGGTGGAGCAGGAGACACCTGGCCAGGTCACAGAGGTCACAGGTCAAAGGATGCCCTTGGAGGTTTTCCTCATAGCTCATGCTTCACTCTGAGCAAAGCAGAATGTACCTGAAGTTCAGGTGAGACATGAGGTGATCCAAATGACATTTTCAAATACTGCTACGTTCAGGAAATTTGTGCAGGAGTCAAGAGTAAAAAGGAAGATCAGTCCAGTGCTGCGGCAATAACACACATGAGAACGGTGGTAATAGTTCAGGTGCTAAAACTTGCTTGGATCTGGATAAATTTGAAGATAAAGCTAAAGACAAAAAGGATTTGCTGATGGTTGCGTGTCAGGCACACAGAGGGAGAGGTCTGAGAGTGCCTACCAAGTTTAGGGCCAGGGCAACTAGGGGGAATGGAGGTGCCATTTACCAAGATAAAGAAGACTAAAAGTGTGGCAGGCTCTGAGAAGAAAACAGACAAGTTCAGTGCCCTGCCAGTTCCACTGAGACCCACAGCCTTCCTGGGTGCTCTGCCCAGCACGCAGATACACATGAGGCAGGAGTTCAGGGAAGGTCACTCAAAGAGCCTAGCATCTCACAGTTATCAACACACACATCAGATTTAAAGTCACCTGGATGACGTCACCAGGGCACTGAGTGTGCAGAGGGGAGAATTCATTCCAAAGAGTGAGAAGTAAAGAATTTAAACATCAGAATTTGGGGACAGAGACGTGACCGGCAGGAGATACCAAGAAGGAGCAGCCTGGGAGTTCATAGGAACAAAGTAGGAAATTGGGTCTCAGACACCAAGGGAGGAAAACATTTCAAGGGAAAGAGATTGATGGTTGCTGATAAATAAAGTCAGAGAGATCAGAGGCAACAAGGATGAACCCTTAAATTTATGATACGGAGGTCACTGGTGACCTCAAAAAGAGCAGCGGCAGTGGAATGGTAAGGGTGGTAATGTTGTCCCCATGGCTTAAGAGAGATGGAGGGGAAAGGGCTTGGGGGACCCAGTGAGCATGAACATGGGGAGATCTCTTGCAAGGGGAGCAGAGAATCACAACAGCCTTTGGATAGAGAAATGAGTCAAGAGATTTGTTTTAAAAGAGAGAAATAGGGGTGCATGGGTGACTCTGTTGGTTAAACATCTGACTCTTGGTTTGGGCTCAGGTGATGATCTGGGGTTCATGAGTTTGAGCCCCTCATTGAGCTCCCTGCTGTGAGCATGGAGCCCACTCTCTTCTCTCTCTGCCCCTCCCATGGACACAGATGCTCACTCTCTCTCTCAACAAAAAATAAATAAATAAATAAACAAATTTTAAAAAATAAAGAAGAGAAAAAGAACACCATGTTTATATGCAGGTGGTAATGATCCAGTAGAAAGAGAAAATCTGATGACCCAGGGCAGAAGCCTGGAGCTGCTGGAGCAATACCCTTGAGTGGCTGAGGGAGAAAGGGCTCACTGCATGAGGGTGGAGCTGGGCCAGTATATCTACAGTTAACAAGAAGAGAGGTTAGAGGCAGGGAAATGGATGCTGCTGGATGGAGTGCTGCCACAGTCATCTACACTCACTGCTCAGCCAGCTGCCATCACAGCAAGGGCTACATATCCCCTGGGCAGTGGTCAGCCATCTCCATGACTTTGGCAGGGGTTAAGTAAGCCATCCTCACAGGACACCCAATGCTTCATCTGCTTGGCCCTCTCTGCAGACATGCAGAGACCTTCCAGTATGACCAATTCACCATTCCCAGCTTGTAGTCTGCAGAGCACTGTGAGTGCGTGCTCAGCAGAAGTGGGAGACCAGAGAGATCCATCTGACAAGGATCCTCCAACCCTCGGAGGCCCAGAGCTTCAGGCCCAGTGCCGTGCAAACAGGAGAAGCACAGATAGGAGGGAAACTCCACTTGTGGTTCAGGCCGTTTAGGGGGGAGGGGTGTGCACAGTGAGCCCAGGGTGCTGACTCCCCACCCCACCCTACCCCCGCACAGCCTCCAGGCAGGCACCTCCATCCATGACTCCCTTTTGCAGGCCATCCTTGTTGTCTGAAGTCAAAAGCAATTCCACAATACCTCGGTCTTCCAAGGCCTGTGGGGGGAAAGAAGACAAGTCAATCTGTCACTCCTCAGAGCTCCTGCCATGTCACACAGCTGGGAAGGTGGCTGCCAGAAGAGAAAGGGGGAAAGGTTCAAAATAAAGCATTTACTTCTCCACAGAAAATGGACAGAAACCCTCCTGTCTGTGCCCGCCATGTTCAAAAAAACTCCTATCAGCTGAAGTCCAGCCGAGGCAGGGGCAGGGCCGTCAGACTCTGGTAACCCTTGACTGCCCCAGATCTGGCAAGGTGCAGGTGTGGTTGGTGCCCTGTTCCTAGATGGGCCTACTCAGAGGCCAGCTCAGAAGGGCCAGCTGCTGTGCTGTCACCTGGCAGCTGACCATAGGGCTCCGTGAGTGGGTCAGGACTTCCCGATACCAGAAGCAGGCAGCCCATCGCTTCCCCACACTGGGCCAGGGTGGGCTCTGTTCAACTGCCATGCCACAGCCACATGCCCATGACATGCTGCATACACCCAGTCGAACAGGAAGCACTCCTTGCAGGTTGTAAATCAAATGAGAAACCAGAAGGAACACACACTGTGTTGAGAGGCAATAACCATTTTACCACTCCAAATAACTGCTACCATTTATGGACCACTTACAGTCACGCCAGGCCTTCTGCTAAATACTTTATATAAACTGGCCTATTCAGTCCTCACATTTAATAACTGTATGGATAAAGAGTCTCAGAGAGGTTGGATAAAGTGTTAAGGGATACAGAGCAAATGAGCCAATATGGACTTCAATCCAGAGTCTGCCCACGTTGAAAGGCTCTGCTTTGGGGCTATGGACTCTTTTGGATTAGAAACCCCAGAAAGGGGACTTTCCTATGATTTTACCTGCAGATATTTTTACGAGACTGCTTATTTCAACCAAATTCTTTGGGAAACAGGTGATGCAAAGAGATGATCCAGGGGATGCATAATGTTCATATCTAAACCTAATGCCAATTAAAAAAGAGCAGAGGGGGCCCTAATTCTGACGGATAACAGAAGACACAGAAGTTCAATCCATTAGGGGAGGTAAAAGTCTTTCCAAATAAACAAAAATTGAAAAAATTCATCACTACTAAACGAGCCCTACAAGAAATCCTGAAGGGGACTCTCTGAGGGAAATGTTGCAAGGAACGCAAGGTACCAGAGACACCACCACAAGCATGAATCCCACAAAGGACACGATGACTCTAAACCCATATTTTTCAATAATAACACTGAACGTAAATGGACTAAATGCCTCAATCAAAAGACACAGGGTAGCAGAGTGGATTAAAAAACAAAATTCATCTATTTGCTGTCTACAAGAAACTCATTTTAGACTGGAGGACACCTTCAGATTGAAAGTAAGGGGATGGAGAAATATCTATCATGCAACTGGAAGTCAAAAGAAAGCTAGAGTTGCTATACTTATATCAGACAAACTGGACTTTAAAGTAAAGACAGTAACAAGGGATGAAGAAAGGCATTATATAATAATTACAGGGTCTAACCATCAGGAAGAGCTAACAATTATAAATGTCTACGCACCAAATATGGGAGCACCTAAATATATAAAACAATTAATCACAAACAGAAACAATCTTATGGATAAGAATGTGCTAATAGCAGGGGACTTTAATACTCCACTTACAGCAATGTATAGATTAACTAGAGAGAAAGTCACTAAAGAAACAATGGACATGAATGACACATTGGACCAGATGGATCTGACAGATATATTTAGAACTCTACATCCTGAGGCCATGGAATTCACTTCCTTCTCAAGAGCCCATGGCACATTCTCCAAGATAGATCACATACTGGGACATAAAGCAGCCCTCAATAAATATAAAAGAATTGAGATCATACCATGCACACTTTCAGATCCCAGTGCTATGAAACTTGAAATCAATCACAGGAAGAAGTCTGGAAAACCTCCAAAAACATGGAGGTTAAGGAACACCCTACTAAAGAATGAATGGGCCAATCAGGCAATTAGAGAGGAAATTAAAAACTATATGGAAACAAATGAAAATGAAAATACAACAATCCAAACTCTATGGGATGCAGCAAAGGCAGTCCTAAGAGGAAAGTACATTGCACTCCAGGCCTATTTCAAGAAATTAGAAAAAGCACAAGTGCAAAATCTAACAGCGCACCTAAAGGAACTAGAGGGAGAGCAACAGGAGCACCCCAAACCCAGTAGGAGAAGAGAAAGAAGTCCAATCCATTAGCTAAGGTAAGATGTTTATTAAAAGACCTGGACATAGCACCCTGCAACTCTCTAGCCAGTCATTTGCTATTATCTAACAAGCTTTGCCTTGGTTCTTAGCTTATGCATGTAGCATCATGTGGGTTGAGGGGGTGTAACCATCTTTTACAGATGTACTCTTTGCACTTGACTTTTCATGGCCATTAATCCATTGACTGCACACTGTAAGGGGTAATTATTATTACTGTTTCCTGAGCACCAGTGATCTACCAAGAAGAATTAGGGGTCTTGTATCTATAATCTCACTTCATTCCCAGAACAGCCTTAGAGAAAGTATTCTTGTCTCCATTGAACATGTGATGAAGCTAAGGCTCAGAAAGGTGAGGTGACTTACCTAAGAACATCCTATGCTGATGGTGTCCACATGTCCGTAACACCCAGGAGAAGCTGCATGGCAGCTCAGGAGGGGATCCCCCCAAGAGCTTGGGATGACAGCGGTGGGTGCTGCAGCTTCTTTTTGTCCATTTGCCTTACACATGGATACCTTCCCCCAGACACCAGGGAGGTGTTGACTGAGCAGGAGAAGCCCCTTAACAACTGCATTCTCCTCTCCAGACCATTAGCAGAGCTCTTCTCTGTTGCTCAGGACTCAGTAAACACCTGCTGGAGAAGCTCCGGCATTCAAGAGACATTCCAAGGGGAAGAGTTATAATGGGAGAAGATCTCCTGTCCTGTGCCCTGGCTGGGATCTTTCTAGCTAATTCAAAGGCAGAGGAAGCTGGAGGTATGGTCTAATCAAGTCTGCAGTTGGGTTTGACTATCAGGATGGACCTCTCCCCTTCCTGGTTTTGGGAATGTTTCTTTCTGGAGACAGCCTTGCTCCCTACACAGGGCTTTCTGCAAGTGACAAGAAGGGGGCAAAAGTAGATGAAATTCTACAACCAGGAGTGCTTGAGCTCGGTCCGCCTACATGCAGGGACTGAAGTAGTTTCCAGATAGAAAATGAATCTGCCTATGACAGCAGAAGAGATGCTGACATCATGGGCCAAAGCTAAAGCAGCTTTAATTAGGTGGATTCCCTGAGGCCACTTAACATTTCCTCAATCCACACCATGGCCAGTCCTTCTAAGTACTTTAAAACCACTGCCAATGATCTATCAAAGTCTTATTTATTGACTGAGCCAATAAATTACTGACTTACTGAGAACAGTCCTAGAACAGTCCTGAGCCAAGTGATCACACACACACACACACACACACACACACACACACACACACACACAATTCATGGAGGCAAATTCTCTCATTAGCCCCACTTCAAAGAAGAGATAATGGAGATTTATAAAAATGAAGGCCTTTCCTCAAGGTGTCAGCTACAAAGTGATAGAAACCAGATCTGAGTATAGGCCTATTCTTTAAAGTGTCATCTATCTCAGCCCTTCACTGATCTGCCATACATTAAATCAGTGGTTCTCAAACTCTCACACACATCGGAATCAGATGAGGACCACCCCAGATATTGTTATTTCATTGGTATAGTATATGGCTTGGGCATATGGATTTTTGAAGTGAATGTACAGATGAAGCCGGGAACTCTTGCTTTAGATGCTGGAATGAAGGCAGCCTTTACAGGGAGACTTCACTAATCCTCACACTCAATTACGTCCATCTCTTTATTCTCATCCACTGCAATACTGTGTGTGTACTGCATCCCCCAATTAGATTCAATCAATAAAAACTAAATAAGTGATGACTTCACTGCAATAAAAGTATGGTGAAAGGATTCACTAATAATAAATAGTGCTAGGAGATGTGGTATTAATATGTGAAAAGTACTAGACCAACATGTCACACCACAGTCCATACTATATCCAGAGGAAGAAACATGAAGAAAGAGAGTTGATTCTTACCTTCTTGATGTAAGGCATATAGGCAGGGTCTCTGTTATAGGAACCATATTCATTCTCCACCTGTACAGCAATGATGGGGCCTCCATGCTTGTACTGGGGAAAGAAATAAACAATCAGAAACTAAGTTTTTAGTGGAAACTGTACTATCTAATTTCATCACACTTGTAACCAATTACTAGCAAAATATTCCATTTGAAAGCAAAAGTCTCAAAGGATTTGAGTATATAATTGAGAGTGATGTCAATAAGATACAGAGTAGGTAGGGAGTTCCAGGCCTTTGTTTCCTATAGAAACATCAAGCAATTACAAACTAAGTAAAACAACCTTATTTTACTAACTAGCCTGGAAACCAGTTAAATGTTTAAGCAAATCAAGAAAAACATGTGTTTACAATGATAGGAAATTTCATGGTGTTTCAACTCATCCTTGCTCCACTCCCTCCCTGGCATAGCATGGCATAGTCCAAAAAAAGCAACCCAGTTCCCGGTTCCTTCCTTCAGGACAGACGGAGCAAAATGGAACTTGTGTGTAACATTCTAGGCTATCTGTGGGCTGCCCAGTAGACTAGTTTCTGTCTCATCTGATTTGGAGATCAGACAGGAAATGTTGGCATAGTTTGGACCTCAGGTTGAAAGCAACACAAAGCAGTGAAGGTCACAATATGTGAAAATTTATGAGTCTACAGACTCCTGTATGCCTGTGCAAGGGATTATAGAAAGAGGAATATGATAGAACATCTAAGGCCACAAATGAAGATGGGTGAAACTCTTTGGGAAATTAAGACATGTAAAAGCAGCCAGGGAAAATTGGTGGGGAGACACACACACAAGCCAGACTAGACACATTCCCAGGAAATATATGCAAAGATCTAAAGCCATCACCCCATGCTGATCTTAATGTGTAAGAGCCCACAAAATAGTGAAGATGTTCCCCACCAGTATGCAAAGACTATGAGAGGTGAGAGTTGTTTAAATGTCCAATTATCAACAACAACAAAAACACAAGGAAAAGAAACAAGATAATACAGCTCATTAAAAGGAATGAGGTAAATCTCTAGAAATACACACACTCTAAAGAAACACACACACTGGACTTAATGGGCAACGATTTTAAAACAACTGCCATAAATATGCTCAATGAGCTAAGGAAAAACATGGACAAAGAAATCAGGAAGATGCTATATCAGCAAAGTGAGACTATCAATACAGAGAAAGAAATGATAAAATATACTAAACAAGATTTCTGGAGCTGAAAAAGAAATCTGACTTGAAAAAATTCACCACAGAAATTCAATAGTAATTAAAACAGGAAGAGGAAAAAATGGGCTAACTTGAAGACAAGTCATTTGAAATTATTCAGTCTGTAGAGCAAAAAAGAGAGAGAATGAAGAAAAGAGAACAAAACCTGAGGGACTTATGCAACATCAGTAGGCAGACAAAAATACTCATTGTGGAAATCCCAAAAAAGAAGAAAGAAAAGGAGTAGAGAGGTTATTTGAAAAAATTAATGGCTTAAAACCTCTCAAATTTGAGAAAACATGGATATACAAATCCAAGAAGCTTCAGTGAACTCCAAGGAGCATTAAGCAAGAGACCTCACCAAGGGACATTATAATCAAACTGTCAAGGCCAAAGACAAAAAGAGATTCTTGAAGCAAGCAAGAGGAAAGCAACTTAACACATACAAAGGATCCCCAATAAGACTATCAGTGGATATCTCACCAGAAATCATGCAGGGTAGTGACAGAAGGATAATATATTCAAAGTGTTGAAGGAAAAAAACTATCAACTGAGAATTCTATATCCAGCAAAACTGTCCTTCAGTAATGAGGGAGAAATTAAGACATTCTAAAACAAATACAAGTTGAGGGAATTTGATACCACTAGACTTGACTTATGAGAAATGCTACATAGAGTCCCTCAAGTTGTAATGAAAAGATATTAGACAGTGATTTGAAGCCCCAGGAAAATATAAAGTCCTCCTGTAGAGGTATATGTATTAAAAAATGTAAAAACCAGTATTATTCTAATTTTACTTTACAAATCTACTTCTTTTTTTTAACTGGAACTTAAAAGACAAATGTATAAAAATAATTATTAATCTATATTAATGAGTACACAACATATAAAGATGTGACTTGTAACATCAATAACATACAGCGAGGTGGAACTGTAAAGGAGTACTTGTTGTGACTGTGTGTGCGACTAAAGTTTCATTGACATCAATATAAAATATAAAATAATATAAAAATCACAGGGCGCCTGGGTGGCTCAGTCAGTTGAAAGTCCAACTTCGTCTCAGCTCATGATCTCACGGTTCGTGGGTTCGAGCCCCATGTCAGGCTCTGTGCTGACAGCTCATATATATGTGTGTGTGTGTGTGTGTGTGTGTGTGTGTGTGTGTGTGTGTGTGTATATGTATGTATATATATGTGTGTATACATACATATATATCACACTCCATCCAATGACACAATACACATTTTTCTGAAGTACACATGGAACATTCTCCAGGACACATCATATTTTAGGCCACAACAGAAGCTTTAATAATTTTAATTATTTTCAAAGATTTATTTAATAATTTTAAAAGATTGAAACCATACAAAGTATTTTTCCAGTCATAGTAGAATGAAACTAGAAACCAACAGCAAAAAGAACACTGAAAATTCAAATTTCAAATTCCACAGATATGTGGAAATTAAACAACACACTCTTAAAAAACAACCAGTGACCCAAAGAAGAAATAATAGGAAAATCAGGATATATCTTGAGATAAATGAAAATAAAAATTCAACAAAAACTTATGGGATGCAGCAAAAGCAGTGCTAAGAGGGAAATTTATAGGTATAAACAAGTCAAAAAAGGAAGAAAAGTCTTAAGTCAACACCTAACTTTTCACCTTAAGGAACTAGAAAAGAGAAACAAGCTAAACTCAAAGGTAGCAGAAGGAAGAAAATAATAAAGATTAGAATAGAGATAAAAAGAGATTTAAAAATGGAGAAAAATTATGAAAACCAAGAGTTAGTGCTTTGAAAAGATTAACGAAATTGACACAGTTTTAGTGAGATTAACTAACAAAACTGCATTATTCACAATAGGCAAAAGCAACCAAGGTGTCCACTGATGAATGAATGGATGAACAAAATGTGGTATAAAGATACAACATATTATTATTATTCAGTCTTAAAAAGGAAGGAAATTCTGATACCTGCTACAACAAAGATGAACCTTGAAGACATTATGCTAAATTTAGAAAGCCAGACATAACAGAACGAGTACTACAGGATTCTACTTATATGAGGTACCTAGAATGGTCAATTTCATAACAAGAGAAAGTAGAATGGTGGTTGGCAGTGGTTATGAGGGAGATATAGAAAGGTAATGTTTAATAGATACAAAGTTTCAGTTTGGGAAGCTGAAAAAAGTTCAGGAAATGGTGAATGGTGATGGTGGTCATGTTTGCACAACAATGTGAATGTACTTAATACCAGTGAACTTAAAAGCACTTAAAAATGGTTAGAATGGTAATTTCTATGTTATGTATATTTTATCATAATAAAAAATAAATAATTATGTTATACTCAGAAAATGCTTTTTTAAAAAAAGGTCTAGTACACCATTTCCATACTTAAGAATGCTTCTAAGCCATACTCATGGCTTGATCTTCCCTAAAACCACCACCTCTATCTCCACCAATCTACTATAACCTGCTGAATCATCTCAGTAATTCCATCTTCCTTACAAAAATCTAGGCTAATAACTTCGTGGCTTCTTGATTCTTTCATGATTAGGGCTTCCGGATTTAATAAATAAAAATACAAGATAGCCAGTTATACTTGAATTTACAATGAATAAACTTTTATATAAATTATGAATATTTTTAATGTATGTCCCATGTAATATTGAAGATTATATTTATACTTAAAAAATATCCTTGTTTATCTGAAATTCAAATTTAACTTAGTACCCTGTGTTTTATTTGCCTCTCTTACAGATGATCAAGTAGTTCCTTTGATCTATGTGTGCTGTGAATATTACAAAGAATTGACTCAAGAGCAATTTTTATTGATGTGCTAATTTTTTATTAATGTACTAATTCCTCAACATGACTCTTATTTTTACATAAGCTATTGGACTATTCCCATTTCTGTTTTTTTATTGTTTCCAAATATTACATGCAATGGTAAGATAATTTCTCCCCAAAATTCATTTTTATCACCTATGTTTTGAATGAAATATCCACCACACCTTTTTGATAGTAGAAAGATGCACCTTGAAAAATTGTTAATTGTAATTTTATAACTACAAAAAGCCCTGTGTATTACAGGTCAGGGCCTATCCATTTATGCTCTTTTCCACATAGAACTGAGCCAGTACACTATTGGGATGCCAGTCAGTGGGTTTTTCAGTTAATAAGACATCACAGCTGACACTGTGTGGAGCAACCTACACCCTTGTGCCTGTCTATCCCTTCAGCACGGAACCCCTAAGACAACACTGAAATATATCTCTTAAAAGACAACTATTGCAACCCCCTCCCCCAATTATAGATCTCGGGCGGTGGGAAAGAATGTGTTCTGTGTTGAAAGGAACGAGGAGCCCCTTGTCTGAGAGCTAACCTAGTCTGTTTACTCCCAGTAGGAAAATAGGTGACGTTCCAAGAAGAGTCTCCTCGCTTTTACCTGGAGTGGCACCACCCTGGACATCAGGTGATCAAAATAAAGGTCCACTGCTTCGGTGAAGCCCTTGTAAGTTGTTCTCAGCCTCATGCCAGAGTCTTGGAGTAACCAGCTTGAATAAAAGGGGGGGGGGTGGAATTAGTTGCACTGTTTGTGGGTTTCTCTGGGCAAGAGATGGTGGGGAGAAAAGCAGTGGCTTCAGAGTGCTGGGGGTGAGCGAGACCATTCCCCCACCACCACCTCCACTCAGCCAGGAAGGCAAGAGACTGTGCGAACAGATTCAGGGGCAAACACTGCCAAGCTCAAGCCCTGCACTCTTCACTGTTTCCCTATTAAAGACACCAGCAATGCTAGGGATTTTATTTCCGGCTTTGTGGCTATAGGTCTGGCTGCCAGTGAGGAAAGCTCACTGAACTCAAGGCTCAGTGTGGAAGCATTTAGTCTAAAATCTCATTACAAAGGGGTGAAACCAAAGGGGTTAAGGAATCCCTGGGACCAGATGCAACCCTCTAGAGTCTCCCAGAAAACTAAGCCTGACATGGAGGTCATGAGAGGCTAATCCACTTCTCCTCATTCCTGTCCATCCGTCCATCCGCTGCTCTCCAGACTGACGCTGCAACTCATTAGCATCAGCCTCTGCAGCTTTTCAGAGCTCAGCTCAGAGGAGGAGCTGCAGAGCAAGGTGAATTCTTCCCACAACCTGTCCCTTGTGATCACATTTCCCAGGTGAACACAGATCATCCATTCCAGAGCTGGAGCCAGGAACTCTTCCTTCTCAGTGGAAATTCTGAGTAAAATATTTACATTTTCTCACTAAGGGTCTGATGCTTCACATCCTAATTTGGAAGTCCTGAACAGAGTCAGAAAATGATCAACTTATGTTAGGTAAAAATGGAGGAGGAGAGAGCAGCTTCCTTTAGACTGATACCTCCACCCTCCATCTCACCTAAGATGGTCTAGTTTCTCATTGCCACCGGGTCACTGCCTGTTTGGGCCTCCCTGGGGTGTGTCCACATGCCCATCCTCAATGCCAGGACCTGAGTGAACGGTGCTGTCCAGGAGGAGGGCTGAGTGCTGGATGGAGCCCCTGCTGTTTCTTAGCTAACACTTAAATCCTGTCCTCCTCCTGGACAGCTCCTCAGCTGAGCCTGAGGACATCGCTGACACACAGATTTCTAATCCCCAGGTGTGGGGGGAGGGCGCTCTGGCTGTGTGCACAGCCTTGTCAAGGGCACTCTTGCCAAGCTGAACAGCACAGAGACAGAAAAGTGATCCTGGAGAACAAAGGAGATGGAGACAGCCTGCCTGGCATCCCTAGGGAAGGGCTGGGTGGAGCTGGAGACAAGAGAAAACAAAGCCCAGGCTGGTGGCTGTGTTGCAGAGAAAGGCCATTCCCAAAGGAGACCATGAGGCAAACAGAACCAGCCTTCTTCCCTCTTGAGGTAGGGAGAGAGTGGATCTAACCATCTGGAACACTGCTTCCCCCTATTAACAAGAAAGTCTTTTTGCTGAAAATTAATGGCAATGATGAGGACAAGGAATGAATGTGGTACCAGGTGATTACTGCCCAGATTTCTACTCCAGCCACAGAGCACTCTACTGACCTCAGTGGAGACTACACATCCCAACATAACTAATTAAAGCCTGCAATTTGAAGACCAAAAAAAACCCAAAAAACAAAACAAAAAAAACAATAATTTGTTTCTCTAATACTTTATTAAGATAAAGTGATATCATTTAAAATGGCCCCCTTTAGGTCCCACTTTTTCTGGGAAGGTATTTCAGTAGAGAATAAAACATATACTTAATAGCAAAATTAAACCTACCTTTTTGATTAGTGTTTTGCACAAGCTCACAGGGCAGCTCAAGCCACAGCTGGAACCCCTCACAGCCCCGCTCACCTGGGCAAGCCCCCAAGGTCGATCTCACTGCAGATGTAGGGGCCTGGACGCAGAATCACCCACAACCCGATCTCCGCAGCCATCAGCACAAAGGCCCTAGGGAGGTCAGTGTCAGCAGCTCTCAGAACATCAGGGGGTAGGGTGGGGATGAGCCTGGCACACATCGCAAGGTGTTGGATCTGCCTGGCTCCTCCCCTCCCTCCCTTCAGAGACCCTGGGAGCTGGGTTCTCTCCTGCTCCCAGCCCAGGACCTTCTGCACAGCCCCCCTGGGGGCATGATGGACCAAGGGCATCAGACAAGATACAGGGTGGGGTGGAGGGTCCTAAGAGTGAATCTGACCCCAACAGTCTTGCTACCCTAGATGGGTAAACCCTGTCTCAGCCTAGGTGGCTGGACCATACTGCAGAATAGGGCAGACACTGGGGATTAAGCACCTCTGAGCTGCAGTGAAAAGGTCTGAGCTCAGAGGAGGCAAACCCAGACCCCTGAGAGTAACAGGTTGCTATATGGAGAGCATCTGGGTCCTGAGAACAAGGGTCCAGAACCCAGCCTGTCTCTGGTTCTCAATGAAGAATGGAGATGGCCCTTTGATCCCTGACCAACCCGAGACCACCTCTCTGCCTCCCCGCCCCAGGCCAAGCCACAGAAGCAATGACAGCACTTACTCCAGGTCCAGGTTCCCAGAGAAGTCAAATTTGCCTCTTTCTGGCTCATGGAGGTTCCATGGAACATAGCTGAAATAGAAGATAATTATAGGAATGAGCTTTTCATTTATTCCACTTCATCTTCCAGATTACCTTCTTTATCCCTAAAACCCATCATGATGGTTGAAGATGTATTTCTTAGGTACATTGTTTTAATGGTATCAGGACTGGAAACAAGAACTAATTAAGGAGATCTAAGGACCTTAGAGTATCCAGGGCCAGTCCCTGGGGTGCTAACAACTCATCTCCTTAGGAGAAGGGAGAGAAGGCCAATAAGAATTGAGTGAAGCATGAGATGTGACCACAGGTCAGCTTGAGCATGCACTCCCCCACCTTCCTCCCTCCCTCCCCATCTCTCCTGCTCTCTCTTTATCAGAGAAAAAAAAGTAACTTTCTAAGAGTGTAAGTTAAAAGTAAGGTAAGAAGAAGCCTCTGATCGTCCTATTTTTACTGAAGCAACCAGAATTTCAAATAATTCTTTCCTTATCTTCTCTTTAGAAGATAAGGAAATAAAGTAAGTTCTTTAAGGGGCCCAACTCAAGAGGCAGAGGTTTGGAGGATGTATGAAAATAGTAACAGAGCTGCTCTTCTCCTGGACTCCCACCCATCCCTGGCTTCTAGTGGAGCCCTTTCCAGCTGCAAGGAAGGTGCACAGGTAAAGGAAAAGGTCTGCTTGCTTCCAATTCAGATGCAGGAGTTCCATGTTTAAGGAAATACAGATCACTCAGCTTTTATAAGGCAAGATGCTTAGCCTACAATGTTCCCACCAGCTTCAGATTTGCAAATGTACCTTCAGGATCAGAACTTATATATGCATATAAGTGGATCCTTTTAAGTAATCCTTCTGGAAAACTATATACATGTGTTTCAACTGTGCTATTATAGCCCAGAATATTCCTATAATTCTTTCTAGAAATTATCTTCAAAGCTGCTTCACAAACCACCCAAGAAAATCCACATCCTTGATTTGTAATCATATTGTTGCCTGAAAACAGAATAGCTTAGCCTGATAACCCACTTTATTTCATAGACCTGGATCCAACTATCTGTTGGCAATTTTGAAAAATAAATCCACAGAAAAATAAGATCCTTCACAACTGAGCACATTTTTTAACTGATTCACATACTCAACATTTTACTGAGTGCCTATCATGTGCCTGTCACTGTGGTCAGTGCTAGAATGGAAGCCACAGTGCTCTGAAGATAATTCTAAACAGGAATGCTAAAAAGTGATGAGAACTTCCTTAGGAACCTATTGTGAAAAACACCGCACTCATCTGCTAAATAAATTGGGGGATGGAGTGCTTGTTAAAAAAAATAATAACTATTTGATAATTTAATCATCCCCACCCCTACTCCCCTCCTTCACTATATTCCTTTCTATATATACCATTGCTCTTTCTGTGCCTCTAAACCTTAACATCCATCCTGTCTCCTCATCTGCACTAAGGGGGAGGGCTGTGCAGGTGAGAAAAAGGAGGTTGTCATAGCTGGCAGACCTAAGCAGGGCTGTGGGCAAATTGCTCCTCCTATATTTTTCCTCACAAAGCTCAGCCCAAAGATTCTCTTCCGGGGCTGCTCAAGGGCAAGATATGGCAGGGCTCCCCCATCCTGACACGATGGAGACCTGCAGGCTGGGCTGCCTGGAAGAAGCCCAGGACACAGATGCCACAGATGACAAAGCCTGGTGGTGGGGTGGGGTAGCACTCACGTGGTGAGGGTATTCAAGCCACAGGCTTTCATCTTCAGCAAGCGGTCCCTCCAGTATTCCTTGGGCACCCGGAAATAGTGCACAGACCCCCCAAAGATCCAGAAGGTGGAGTCCTCCAGCATGAAGTGTTGGCCGTTGGCCTGCAGCCCTGACTTTCGGTGTCTTAGCCATGCAGGGACCAGATTATACCAGTCCAACCTGCAAAGAGAAAAGGCAGCTGGCGAGGTTGGCTTATCTTCAGCAGTGAGCAGGGGCACAGTCTTAGGAGACAGGCTTCTTCTCCTCCACAGGCCTGCTCTGAGGCCTTCAGAAAAGACTCCCCACCCTCTGACCTAGCCAAGCCTTGGGCGGGGTCTTTCTTCAGCACACTCCTCCGCACCCCACTGCAAGGGAAGAACAAGCTGAGGCTGTAGTTAGGAATGAGACAAACACAACGGTCAACATGAAGACTGTACTACAGGGAGAAAGGATGAGGTGGGGGCACACGACAGGGAAAGGATATGCCCAGGGGTTGCAGGGTGCCCAGAGAAGGTGTGTCACACAGGTTCCTACAATGGCCAGCTCTTCTAGGCCACTTGACTAAACATCAAAGGAGCGGCTACTTCAAATAGTACCTCTGAGCCACCTTGTGGTCACAGCTGCCCGGCTCAAGGTGCAAGTACCTGGAAGGAGTATCTGGGGTTAGCAACAGCATTTATTCATTGACCAAATTCCAAGTCTCAATTCTTATCTAAAGATCAAGTTCAAGTGATAATCTAGCACAACAGAGAGCCCCACCTGGGAGGGCTGTTGGGAAGTGTTAGTCCCTGGAAAAGTACCTCTTGCCTAAGGGAGCCCCTTCAAATTGATCCCCATGACTAGATTTCCCTCTCTCTCTTTTCTCCACAGTCTTCAAAGGCCACGAGACAAACCCAGCAAGAAACGCTGAGGGAACCAGGACATTTAAGAGAGTTGGGGACAGAAAACAACAGAGTGAGTGAGGCTGGGGCAAAAGCATATTTCCATTGGTGCCTCTTTCGTGCCTACTTTTCATTACAGTTCCTGACATTAGAGGGTGTATTGCCCTGCAGGGCTCTTCTGCATAAAAGAGCTCCCTAAAATGCTGCTCGTCTTTCCATTCCCTTTGTAACACTGGCTAAAACTGTGCCACTGCTTCAGGCCCAAATTACTTCATTCAATAGATATTGATACACACTGACTGGGGACTGTCATTGGTTAGAAGAAACAGAGATGCACGAACAAAAATGGGCTGACAGCTTCCATCTTGATTCTGGATTCAGCCATTCTCTGTGCCCTTCAAAGGGACAGCTCCTTCACAGAGCTCTGGCCAGCCACGGGGACCAACGGTGGAGGACATGGGGGCAGAGGGCACGTGCATGTCACACACCCCATCGCTGACTCTCCCAATGTGCTCATTGGATGAGCCATCCGTTCTGCTCTCTCTTCATCTCTGCCACAGCCCTGTCCTCCTTCTGGGTCCTTTTCCTACATGCCAGCCAGCTTCTCCTCCATCTACAATGCCAAGTGCTTCAGCTCTGAACATAAACTTGCATACCCTACGTTGTAAAGCAGTTGGAGCCTTACTATTAATGGGAAAAATTCAATTGCACACGCTCCTCAGGAAGGTATCTCCCGTCCTACTACCAAAGTTCCCCCAAACCAGATGCTTCTGACATGTATAGTCTTCTCCACGTCACTGCACACTCAGATCATTACAAATCGGTGTCATGAGTGCTGCTGTAAGCCAAACACAAAGATAAGGCCAAGGCTGGCCCCCCAGGGCATGTTAAGTCATGCAGTCCACACCGGGCCCCAAGCTCAGAAGGCTCCCTTGCAACAAGTAGTTAAATAAGCCATAGAGATCTAATCCACAGTACAATGAATATAGATAATAGTGTACTATAGTTATGTCATGTGATAAATATTGCTACAGTGGTAATCATATGACAATATATAAATATAGCAAAGCACACACTGTACACATGGTTTCAGACATACTATCTTCATTCTGAAATTCTTAATGTTTTCTAAACAAAGGCCCCACATTTTCATTATGCACTGGGCCCCACAACTTAGGTAGCCTGGCCTAGCGGTGGCAGAGGACAGTAGCTGAAATATATATATATAGGTAATTGCTGAATGAAGAAATTATCTAAAGCATCCAGGTGGAGTCAGAAGGCTTTGTGTAGACGATAACTTTTTCACGGATCTTGAAGGCAGAGAATATAAGAAAACAAAGGAAACTAAGGGCAAAAGTATTTTAAAAAGTGAATGCGTATCTACTCCAAGAATAGCAAGTAGACTGGCAAGGAGATTATATGAGCATGTATGCCACCCTGGAGCCCCTCAGCAGTGTGGGCCTGGAGCTGGCACTCACTGCTCACAACTGTCTGCTACAGTCTGGGATTGGTACAGAAACTGAGGTACCTTTATAGCAATGAGGGTAATTTTATGTCTGTTGAAGCTCATCACAGACCTGGGGCAGGTACTTTGTATATCTTTTCTGTTCATTTCCTTTTTCTAATAATATGTTTTGGATGTATTTTATCAAGGAACAAATTTGAATTTTTTTTTTAAAGAAGAAAATGGATTCTTCATCAGAGACAGATTGAGAAGTATTGCTCTAGACCAGAAACAACAGTCTGGCTTTGGGCAGTTGTGATCAGAGCTGGGAGGACAAATATATTGACCGGTTCAGTTTACCAGGATTAGTAACCAAACGGATGCAGGACGTATGAGACCAAAACAGTGTGAAAACACTTCAGCAGCAGCCTCCTAGCACTTCGCTAAAGTTGGCTACACCACAAAAAGAGATTTGGATTTAGCCACAGTGGCTCTTAAAGCTGGGCCCATATCTGAATCACCTGGAAAACTTAAAACAATGAATGCCCAGGCCCCGCCCCTGACCACTTAATGACCCTGGAGGCAGGACACAGGTATTGGTAGTTTTTAAAAGCTCCTCCACAGATTGGAGCAAGGCGCAGCCACTGGTCTAGGGTGAGTTTTACAGGAGGGTCTGGGGCAAATCAGGGACCCTGATGGCCAGAGACAAGAGAACAGGAGGCCAAGAAGACAGAGGTGACACAGACATCACTGATCACTTGGCAGTTTTGTTGATGGCCACTCATGGGCAAAGAAAATTATTTCGACCTCGTCCTTCCTACTTGTCACAGCCCCCAGGACCCAGAACTCATGATGCTGCTGAAGGACTGCAGTTATGCTATAATATAGTTGAAACAGTCATTTGTGGATAACCTGGGGACCTAATCACTTTTTTCTTTCTCTAAATAGAAAAGTTCCATGTTCCAAGTGACTTGTAAATGATATTTCAGAATATAGTTCTTCCAGAGGACCACCTGTATGGGGTAGAAAAACAAGAATATCTGCAGAAGGAGGATATGGACATGAGTCCTGGCCCTACACTTATAACACCGTCCCCTTGGGTCACTGATACTAGCTCTGTGGACATGAGTTTCTTCTTCTGTATATGGGTGAATGCCTAACTGTTCACAAAGGCCCTGTGAAGTTCAGATATAAATGAAATACTCTGTAATGTGCTATAAAAGAGTTTTGTGGCTATTTGAAATAAGTTTATTTTTGCATGCTTTGCATATTAGAAGAGCCTCAGTGGGGTTTTTTTTTTTTATGACCTTATAGGGAATAATCCCAATCTTTCCATTCTTAAGCATTTAATTTACTATCTAACCATATTTTATGTGCAAGATGTTGTACCAAGCCATCTTATTACAGTTTCTAAAATTTTACAACAAAAGTCTGTCCAGTGGGATCCTGTCAAACCAACCCAGCCCCTTGACTAGCAGTCAGCAATCCCCAGGTGTGGGCCAAAGCCACTATGCCTCCTGTCTTTGTACAGCCAGCAAGCTACAAATATCTTCCACATTTATAAGTGGTTGGGGGAAAAAAAAGAACAAGACATGGGGACACAAAAAAGTTATATCACTTCACATTTCAATGTCCATAAATAGTTTTACTGGCACCCCACATGTCCATTCATTGACATGCTGTCTGTGGCTGCTTTGGGACACAGTAACGTTGCTGCAAAAGACATTGTGTAGTCTGCAAAGCTGAACACATTTGCTACCTGGCCCTTTACAGGAAACTCTGTCGACCCTTCCCTGGAGAATGAGGCCATGGAGACTGAAAGGAGGCTTCAGGCCCTCCACAGCCACTGTCTGAGCCTCCTACCGACCTCCTTGCTTTGGCTCTTTCCCTCAGCTCTTCCCTTTGACCACAGCTCCTGAGTATTCTGACTGCGTCTGAAGTTTCTCATACCACACACACAGGAGAGATTGGTCTCTCTTAGTTTTCCTCATATCTGCTCCAAAGAACACACTCTGCCTTCATGCCTCATCTACTCTCTAGGCTTTCTGTACTCTCTCCACCTGATCCCTCCAGACATCCCCGTAGGTCCCTCACCCTTCAGGCTTGCCCCAGCCTAGAGTGAAGAAGAACTGATGGACAGATTCTCTTCTTAAACACATAGGTATACTGACAGTCCAGTAGTGAAAATACACACACACACACACACACAAAATCTCATTATTTTTAAAGACCGTGAAAATACAATTCAGCAATCATGCCACCAGGCAGCAATCCTTATCCACTGGCCAGAACGTCAAAAGAACAATCTCCAGCTCACCAAGTTCACATCAATGACCCCAACTTTTATTTATGACTGTGACTCCCAAATGCTGTGAGAGCTTCCTTCTTTCCACCCTCTCAGTGCAGAGGTGTTGATGGGATTGGAAGCACTCTCTATGCCCTTCATTCCAAAAGACTTCCTGCTAGTTACGCACTCTCCCTAGCCTGTCCCCTCCTTCTGGATTTACATCTCCAGGTGTGCACTGCACCTGCATGGTAATTTTATCTGGAGTCTGATACAAATGCAGAAATTCAGGCCTTACCTGAGACCTGAATCAGAACCTGCATTTTGACCAGACCCCACAGTAAAGTTTGAGAAGCACTAATCTATATTTTGCCCTTTGATATATGTATATAAAATCTCTTCCTGGATAGAGCTTCTATTTGCTAATGTCTTTATGTGCTATCATTTTCTAGATTTTTTAAAAAATGATTTCCTCTCAATGCTTATTAAGAGGCATGAAACAAAACTGCAAATAACAAAAACTAGATAATAACAAACTCCAAATTCTGGAGAAGTCAACTGTTTCCTCTCTGAAAATTTTCTGGTAGGTTACTAGGTGAATTTTTAATGCATTAATGAAAGGGATGAATTCACTGAGAAAACGAGGATGATAAATGTGGGATTTCTCGGGGTGCCTGGGTGGCTCAGTCGGTTGAGCGTCCGACTTCGGATCAGGTCATGATCTCACTGTTGTGGGTTCGAGCCCAGCGTCAGGCTCTGTGTTGACAGCTCAGAGCCTGGAGCCTCCTTCAGATTCTGCGCCTCCCTCTTTCTCTGCCCCTTCCCTGTTCATGTTCTGTCTCTCTCTCTCTCTCTCTCTCTCAAAAAATAAAATGTTTTTTTTTTTAATGTGGGATTTCGGGGCACCTGAGTGGCTTAGTCGATTAAGCGTCCAACTTTCGCTTAGGTCATGATCTCGCGGTTCGTGGGTTCGAGCCCGGCGTCGGGCTCTGTGCTGACTGCCAGCTCAGAGCCTGGAGCCTATTTCAGAGTCTG